CCACTGTTGATCAGTTGTTTTCTGGAAGGTAACCTCTGAATCTGAATTTACATATGTCTAAATTTATTTGTCTTACTTTGACTTATTATTTACTCTTAAAAATAAGAAAAAAAAGAGCTAAGAAATGTTAGTTGAATGCTAATTAGCTAAAATGAAAAGGTTAAGTTTTCTTTTCTTTTTTTCCCAGATGGAGTCTTACTCTGTTGTCAGTTTGAAAGTGCAGTGGCACGATCTCAGCTCCCTGCAACCTCCGCCTCCCAGGTTCAAGTGATTCTCCTGCCTCAGGCTCCCCAAGTAGCTGGGACTACAGGCATGTGCCACCACACCCAGCTAATTTTGCATTTTTGGTAGAGAGAGGGTTTCACCATGTTGGCCATAATGGTCTCGATCTCTTGACCTCATGATTTGCCTGCCTCAGCCTCCCTAAGTGCTGGGATTATAGGCATAAGCCACTGTGCCTGGCCTTAGTTTTCTTTAAAAATGTTGTTAACGCATTGTGTGACCATTTTTTCTTTTTTTTTAACAATTAAGAAAACACTACTTGTTTGCATTTATAGATAGTAAACTGATTTTTTCGTTTTTTGTCAGCATCCTCTAGTATCTGAGAAAAATTAGTAATTTAGAAGGTCTTCTGTATTTGCTACTGCTATTTTTCCATTTAGCATGTAACAGTTATTAAACTAAAATTAGAGTTTGTTTTCATAGCTTAAAATTTTTCACTCGCTAAAATACCTCTCTTGGTCCAGGTTCTAGCAACCATAATTTGATGATTGAAGTTTTTTCAGTTCTTGTTTGGTTTGGTGGGGAAGGGCATACTGTTAATATTATAAAACTATTACCTAGCTCTGGGCAGTTTAGTAAATTAGTTACTAGTCAAACCTACTGAAAAGATTGACTATTAACCCCAAAGATCAACCATTAAAGCTTGTCTACCATTTAACAACCATTCTGCTTGGAACCCGAATCTAGAGGCTTTACTCAGAAAACCATTTTGGGGTGACAAAAGAAACATCAGCTTTGAAATAGAACAAGAGAACTCTGTGGGTGAGGTGGTTCATGCCTGTAATTTCAGCACTTGGGGAGGTCAAGACAGGCAGATCATGAGGTCAGGAGATCAAGACCATTCTGGCTAACACGGTGAAACCCTATCTCTATTAAAAATACAAAAAATAAGCTGGGCGTGGTGGCATGGTACCTGTAGTACCACCTATTCTGGAGGCTAAGGCAGGAGAATCACTTGAACCCGGGAGGCGGAGGTTATAGTAAGCCAAGATCGTGCCACTGCACTCCAGCCTGGGCGACAGAACAAGATGCCATCTCAAAAAAAAAGAAAAAGAAAAAGAGAAGTCTGCTGAAGAGTTCAAAGTAAAAATGAACACCCATTCAGCCAGAGACTGAAACAATATGCTGACTTTGATTGATGAACCAAAACTCCATGCGAGAATAAAAATTAAATTTAGTAATGGATACTGCCTATGAGCCAGAGACACTGTGTATGACAAAGAAAAATGAACCAGGTGTGATGATAGGAATCCCAGAATCTCACCCTAAATTTCCAGAGAGTTTGAAAAGACTGATTTGTAGGATTAGTGCATTATGGCATCAGACTCAGGGGAAGAGAGCTGTGGTCTACGAGTAGAGTAGTGAGTGAAATCTAATATATCCTTATTATAAAGGGAACCTGATGTGCCTAGACATGAGTAAACAGCAAGTTCTGGTCTTGAGGATGAAGCAGTGTCGAGGCAAATCTGGGTCAGACAGAAAGTTTGAATATCTTTGATTAGCATCTATACTGGACATGGTGAATCCAGCTCAGTTCTTTTGGCACATACTTATTATTTGTCAAGGAAGATTAATAAATTGACCTTGGTTTTTTGTTGTTGTTGTTGTTGTCTTTGTTGTTTTTAAGAGGAGGGGTCTGGCTATGTTGCCCAGGCTAGAGTGCAGTGGCTATTCACAGGCGTGATCCCACTACTGATCAGCACTGGAGTTTTGACCTGCTCCGCTTCCAACCTGGGCTGGTTTACCCCTCCTTAGGCAACCTGGTGGTCCCTTGCTCCCGGGAGGTCACAATATTGATGTCGAACTTACTGCAGACACCCAATTGGCATAACACACTACAGCCCAGAACTCCTGTGCTCAAGTGATCCTCCCACCTCAGCCTCCTGAGTAGCTGGGACTACAGGCACGCGCCACCACGCCCTGCAAAATGGACCTTATTTGGGGGTTACTGTGACAGATATATAAATAAGCATTTTAACAGAGAACAATAGAAGGATATATAGACTGCTTTGGTAGTTAAGAGAAAGAGCGTTTAGCCTAACCTGGATTTTTTTTGTAAGGCTTCCTTGAGGAGATGAAACCTGAGAAGAGTTTCTGATGGGTAGGAGTTAGATAAAGACAAAGCAGAATATTGAGAAAGGGCAGCATAAACTGAAGAGTCATAAAATAACATGAAACTAGTTGAATGTTTGCCTACCTTATCATTCTCCCTAGGCCAGGATTTCTTAACCTTCTACTTTCTGGGAGCAGCTGTCCTCTGCACTGGAGGATGTCTAACAGCATACAAAGCCCGCAGCCACTAGATGGCAGCAGCAGCGGCAGCAGCCACATCTCCCCCATTTGGGGGACACTCCTGGTGAGAACCACTGACCTGGGCTAAAATTTGGTTAAATTTGGATTATATATTCTGAAACTCAGTGGCTTCACCCAGTTTCTTTGAAGAATGACAAAATGAAACTTAGATTGTTTTCTTTTATATTCCCCTTTTCCGTTCGTAAAAAATTCTTTTCCATCCTGGAAAAATTCTGATCTCTAGTGAGGTGAAAAGTTAAAAAAAAAAAAAAATTCTTTTCAAATTCCACCCTAGTCTTAATCAAAGAAGAAACTAAATTATTTTCATATCTCGTGGAAAGAAAAATATGTGGCTAGAGTTCTATGTGTATGGTGGCTGTGACCACTCAATACTTTTTAGAGAACTGGATAACCAGAAACTGCATATAGACAGGTTTTTCACTCAGTTATAAGAACATCAAAATTTAGACTCCGTGATAGTTTTATTTCTCTCAGCAGCTGTTTCAGTACTGATTCTAGACTTATTCTACAATTTACAATACAGAAAATTCGATTGTACACAAGAAAATGTAAACATGGTTAGATACCAGATGTATGTGAGAAAATAAAGTTTAGCGTTATAATTACTCAGGCCCACAAGGAACAACAGGATTTGTACCATGATCTTCTTTCTCGTGTTTGAAGAATTATTCTAATGATGATACCCAGCTTCTTTGAAAAATGAAAAAATGAAACTTAGATTGCTATAGGACTTTAGGATTAAATTAGAAAATCAGCAAGCTTATTTTTTTAAAACTATTAAAAGCAGTTGGGTGCAGTGGCTCACACCTGTAATTCAGCATTTTGGGAGACCAAGGCTAACGGATCACAAGGTCAGGAGTTGGAGACCAGCCCGCCCGATATGGTGAAACCCCATCTCTACTAAAATATACAAAAATTAGCCGGGCACGGTGGCGTGTGCCTGTACTCCTAGCTACTTAGGAGGCTGAGGCAGAAGAATTGCTTGAACCCAGGAGGTGGAGGTTGCACTGAGCCGAGATCCCACCACTGCACTCTAGCCTGGACAACAGAGCAAGACTCTGCCTCAGGGGAAAAAAAAAAAAGCTTAAAAGCATAAGCCAGACTTAACAATTTTAAGTATCAGGCTGATAAAAACAACTTACAATTTGAAAGTACTTTACAAGTTATTTGTATAGGTATATATATATATACATGCATATGTATGTCTTTATATTATATATACACATATATATTGTATATTAGGGTAATAAACTTCAATTAGTATAAACTGCTTCCAATTCTACTGGCTAACTTTCCTTTTTATTTAACATTCAACATTCTATTAGGTAGTAGGGGTACAAGTATGAATAATATTGAGCCACTAGCCTTGAGGAAGTCATAATACATAGGTACATAGACTTACAAATAACTAGAGTAAAATATTTAAAATGCACTGTGGTAGATTTTAAAATGACATCGAATTAATGAATTTTGCTGTTAGAGTAATGTGAATTAGTTTGAGAGGGATAGAAATTATCAAGGACTATGTTAAATTATGGAAGATAGAATGTGTAGCATTGCTATCACTTAAGGCTAAAGGCAAGTAGTTCGCACTATCTGGTGATACTTTTCTAAACCTGCTTGCTAAGCAAAAAAAAGTTACAGGGCAGCAACTGTCACTTTTACATTTTTCAAATTTTGCTGCTTAATGTTAAGATTAACCTTAGGTGGGCATGGTAGCTCATACCTGTAATCCCAGCACTTTGGGAGGCTGAGGTGGGTGGATCTCCTGAGGTCAGGAGTTTGAGACCAGCCTGGCCAACATAATGAAACCCCGTCTCTACTAAAAATAAAAACAATTAGCTGGGCATGGTGGCAGGTACCAGTAATCCCAGCTACTAGGGAAGCTGAAGCAGGAGAACTGCTTGAACCCAGGAGGTGGGGGTTGCAGTGAGTTGAGATCACACCATTGCACTCTAGCCTGGACAACAAGAGCGAAACTCTGTCTTAAAAAAAAAAAAGATTGACCAACTATTTTGTATAGTTGAATTACACAATGCATAAAATACACAAAAATGGGGTGTTCTCACTGGGTTTTCACTTGGGATGAGAATATTACTTGAGTGTAAAACTAGTATGAAAGTACATTAGAACCAAGTTTCCCTAAAATGTGTTTGTATGGCAGTATGTTTATTGAAAAAAATCTGCATATAGTTTGACCTGTGCAGTTCAAACCTGTTCGAGGGTGAACTGTACTGATACTGTGGTGCCTCTCCAAGTGTTAACTGAATACAAAGTATGCAAAAAGCACAGTAAAAGTGGTTAAAAATAGATTGATAAATCTGCTGACAGCTTTTAAAAGACATGTATAAGATATTTGGTTTATTCCTGAATTTTTCTCTTCTTCTTTTTTTTTTTTTTTCCAGGTCCCAGAACAGTTTTCTTCTGGGCTCCAATTATGAAATGGGTAAGTCTTGAATTTTTGCGGAAGCTACTGAAAGAAAAATTCCTTAATAGGAATTTACTAATTTAAAGTAACTTATATGAAGGATATACTTTAGAATATTCTTGGTATGCCTTTAGATGATTTCATGAAAATCAATTGTCAGACATTATTTTCTACATAAAGTAACTATCTACTTTAGTTTTTCTCAACTCTTTAGATAAGAGGCCTTCTGGGAACATAGTTGTTATCAAAAAACTTACAATTGTGTGCCATAGGGACATGAAATTTTATTCTCAAATTTTATTACTAAGTAAAACAATAAGTAGTTAGAACACCAAAGTTAACTTTTATTATTAATTGAGTATGAGAACTGAAGGTACTAACACCAAAATATCGGTGAGGAAAGCTAGTCTCAAAAAGTAGATGGATTTAAGTATAAATATTAGCATTTGGTAAATAAGAGAACCTAGGACTTCTGACTCCAAGCCCGGTGCTTTTCCTCTTCCCCAGAGTTTTCTTTCTCAAAGTTCTCACTTAGCTGAAAGGAAACAATTGAGGCTATTTATAGCAAATCATTAGTTTTATGTTGCAAGGGCCAGTTTGGGTCTATAACTGTGCTTCTCAAAGTGTCATCTCTCTGGACCTGCAGTGGCATAATATGAGAACTTGTTAGGCCCCATCACAGACCTACTAAATCTAAAACTCTAGACGTGGAGTCTAGTGAGCTGTGTTTTCACAACATCTTCGTGTGATTTTCTGATGCCCTCTAAAATTTTTGCAAACTACTGGTCTGTAGGCTTTTTTATTTTTTAATGTGGTAAAATACACATAAAATTTACTGTCTTAACCATTTTCAAAGTGTACAGTTCAGTAGTGTTAAGTACATTAATAACATTATTAACCAATCTCCAGAACACTTTTTATCTTGCAGAAGTAAGACTCTGTACCCATAATTTCCCATTCTCCTTCTCCCAGTCCCTGGCAACCACCATTCGACCTTCTGTCTCTGTGAATTTCACTACTCTAAGGACCTCATGTAAATGGAATCAGATATTTGTCTTTTTGTAGTTGGCTAATTTCACCTAGCATAATGTCCACAAGGTACATTCATGTTGTCACTTGTGTCAGAATTTCCTTTCTTTTTAGGGCCGAATACCATTCCATTGTATATTTACCATATTTTTTTAAATTGACCTATATGTTGATTGGACAATTGGTTTGCTTCCACATTTTTGCTGTTGTGAATAATGAATGAATAATTGATGTACAAGTATCTGTTTAAGTCCATACTTTTAATTCTTCCTAGTATATACCCAGAAGTTGAATTGCTGGATCATATGATAATTCTGCTTAATATTTTTTGTTTTCCTCGGCAGCTACATTATTTTGCATTTCTACCAGCAATTCATAAGGGTTCTAATTTCTCCACATCCTCACCCACACTTGTTGCTTTTCATGAGGGAGCATTTTGGTTTTCGTTTTATGATAGGCACCTAATGGATGTTAGAGATCTTGTTGCTTTTATTTGCATTTCCCTAATGATTAGTCATGTTGAACATACACTTACTGTACTTATTGGTCAGTTGTGTATATTCTTTGGAAAAGTGTTTATTTAAGTCCTTTGTCCATTTTTTAATTTAATCAAGTTGTTTGTTTTTTGTTGTTGAGTTGTAGGCTGTTGTAATTCTCTTAAATGTACCTTTTTTTTTTTTTTTTTTTTTGAGACAGAGTCCCGCTTTATCGCCCAGGCTGAAGTGTAGTGTTTACATCTTGGCTGACTGCAACCTCTGCCCACCTGGCTCAAGCGATTCTCCTGCCTCAGCCTCCTGAGCAGCTGGGATTACAGGCGCCCACCACTATGCCTATCTCATTTTTTTGAATTTTTAGTAGAGACAGGTTTTCACCATGTTGGCCAGGCTGGTCTTGAACTCCTGACCTCAAGTGATCCACCCACCTTGGCCTCCCAAAGTGCTGGGATTACAAGTGTAAACCACTACACCCAGCCAAATGTAGTTTTAAAATGGTTAGAACAATTCAGAAACTCAAGCTGTAAATTCAAGTGGTTGAGAAGGTTAGAGATGGAATTGGGTATGACTCAATCTTATGGCCTTGGGCACGTTTAGTCTCTGTAATTTTGTCTCTTAAACTATAAAGTGACAAGATTAGAATATAAGAGATTTTGGAGCTGTGTATTCAGAGATCTAGGGAGCAGTTTTTTTTTTCATATTCTACATATTGAGAAAAGATCCTAAAACCTCTTAGACTAATGGAAGTTACATTACCGTTTCCTTCTCTCCCTACCTACACTTAAAATTATATAGTAATTATATATCTTTATAGTGATTTATAGCTGAAGTATTCAATCATTAAAAGTGTTTGAGTGATTTCATCTATTCACAATAAACTTAGGGGCCTCTTTGACCTCAAATTTACCATAGTTTAGGAGTTTATTGAATTTATCAATAGCTTTGGTGTTTATTTGACCTGGTTCATTACTGCTGTGAGATGTCGACAGCATTATATACTCATAAGTGCATTCTTGACCATCTGTCTCTTTAAGAACATCTATTTTAAGTACATGTTGTAGTCATACATAGTCTCCAGATGACAGCATAGCAATAGAAACTTCTTTGTTTTGTTCTCTGGTGAAGAGACTTCTTCTGTTAGATACTTCCCTTATGTACCTCTTATTGTGTTTTCTTATCCCAGAGCATTTGATAATTAATCTGTAGAATTCTGTACATGAGACATAATAGTTGCTTCTGAAAGCCACATATGTTCTATAACATGCAGACTCTCAGGCCATATGCCTTCAAAAATGACACTACAGTAGAGTCCTTGGTAATCACTTTAGTAGAAACCACATAACTAATCATAAAGGTCAAAGTGGATAATCCTAAAAAAAACACACACACACAAAAAACCTGTGTACCTTAAATATTTTATTGTAATCTAAAGGATATAAATATATATTCATTGACAATCAGTCTTCTTTAAAGCTAAAGTTTTTATTTGTGTATGGATTTTTGAGTTTCATATTTTCTATCCTAGATAAATTACACTATAGTGCATCCCATATACTTTCCAGCTTAGTTTCCTTTCTTTGTTTCTTTCTTTTTGTTGTTGTTGTTTTGAGACAAAGTCTTGCTCTGTCACCCAGGCTAGAGTGCAGTGGTGCCATCTCGGCTCACTGCAACCTCTGCCTTCCAGGTTCAAGTGATTCTCCTGCCTCAGCCTCCCAAGTAGCTCGGATTACAGGCACCTGCCACCACCACACCGGCTGATTTTTGTGTTTTTAGTAGTGATGGGGTTTCACCATATTGGTCAGGCTGGTCTCAAACTCCTGACCTCAGGCAATCTGCCCACCTCAGCCTCCCAAAGTGCCGGGATTACAGGCGTGAGCCACCGTGCTCGGCCGCTTAGTTTTCTTTAAAACAATTTGTTAAATCATATAAATTACATTAACAAGTAAAACTGGCATAAACAGATTTGGGGGCAAACATAGTGACTTGGTAAAAATACAGCTCATCTGGTGGGAGCAAAACCCATAAGTACAATAGAAAGTGTCAAAAACACAGAAAAGAAATGACAATTTATATGCTGATGTTAAAGAAAAATGATCTAATGGCCAGGTGTGGTGGCTTACACCTGTAATCCCAGCACTTTGGGAGACCAAGGTAGGTGGATCACTTGAGGGCAGGAGTTCGAGACCAGCCTGGCCAACATGGTGAAATCCCGTCTCTACTAAAAATACAAAAATTATTCAGGTGTGGTGGCACGTGCCTGTAATCCCAGCTACTTGGAGGCTGAGGCATGAGAATTGCTTGAACCTGGGAGGAGGAGGTTTCAGTGAGCCAAGATCATGCCTTTGCACTCCAGCCTGGGTGACAGAGCCAGATGCTGTACCCCCCCCAAAAAAAGAGATCTAACCAAAAAACTAAAATGATAACAGTTTTTCTGATATTTACACTTTAAAAAAGTAATTCATTAGAAGCCGAAACCTCAGCATCATACAATGTAACAAACCTGCACGTGTACCCCTGAATCAAAACTTTAATTTAAAAATAATAACATTGGCAGAAAACATCAAAGGAAGAATCTATACAAATGACCTTAACAGCTTTCAGGTATCCTCCATGCCAGTAGGTAGTAGTTCCCAACATATATAAAGAATGTAAATTCATATGTGAAATAAATAGACAAAAACCCAAAATATGTATGTACATATAATGCATACATATATATCTTATCTATATATATATACTACTGACTTTTGGATATATGAGACTGCTTAGTATGCTTAACAAAATAAAATTAGTTCAAAAAGCAGTTTTTTAATTCATTGTGCTTTGTTGTTGTAATCTACATTTTCTTAATGCATGGATACTAAAATTATAGCTGCTAACTTATAGAAATCTCAAAAATGTTTTGTGCTTAACTAAAATTAAAAACTATTACTCCACACTCATGATACTTTTTTTCTTTCTATGTGTTAATATGTATTCCCAGGGGTTGGTGTGTGCTGGATTAGCTGATATGGCCAGACCTGCAGAAAAACTTAGCACAGCTCAATCCACTGTTTTAATGGCTACAGGTAAATTAAATAAGTATCTTCTGTGTTCCTTGTAGAGTATAAATGATTTTTATGTAGTTTTATATCAGTTTATTTAGTGGCTTAGTGTTTGAAATACACCCACACACGAAGAAATTAACTGCATTATGTCTAGGAAGTTATTAAATTATGGATGGAGGAGTCAGAGAAAGAATAAGTATCTGAATGAGCTTTTGTTTTTCAGGTTTTTGCCATGAACATATATTTTTGTAAGTAGGAAGAAAATTACAGTTAATATTTACTTTACTCTAAAGATTCCTCTTTAATGTAAGAATTTAATATTTTGTGTAACACTTAGTTACAGAAACATTACTGAAAATTCAGAGTATAGCATTTCTTTGTCCTTCATCCTGCACTATTTTTGTAATTATTTTACTCAATATTAAGTATTCACTGAAGTTATTGCAGCAGTATGTACGCTTTTTAAAATAACATTTTGTTTCAACAGGGTTTATTTGGTCAAGATACTCACTGGTAATTATTCCAAAAAATTGGAGTCTGTTTGCTGTTAATTTCTTTGTGGGGGCGGCAGGAGCCTCTCAGCTTTTTCGCATTTGGAGGTGAGCCCACCAGAGATATTCTTAACATTGCTTCAAAAGCTACACAGATAGCACTCATTTGTTTTTAAAGATTCACATATAGTGCTAAGACCAGAAGTATCTGAAGTAGAAATTTAACATTTCTAGAAAAGTCCAGGGGTTTACAAATAAGTTAAAACCAGTTCAGCAGTATGTTACCTAGTTTTTAGATTTAACTGTGCATCCTTTAGATGGTTAACCCTTTCACATAATCTCTTTTATTAAGATAACATATACAGTTTAGGATTTATTAATTTCCTGTGTGAACCTTTTATCACTTACTTTCTTTTTTTTTCCCCTTGAGACGGAGTCTCACTCTGTCACCAGGCTGGAGTGCAGTGGCACGATCTTGGCTCACTGCAATGTCCACTTCCTGGGTTCAAGCAATTCTCCTGCCTCAGCCTCCCTCCCGAGTAGCTGGGACTATAGGCATGTGCTACCACACCCAGCTAATTTTCGTATTTTTAGTAGAGACAGGGTTTCACCATTTTGGCCAGGATGGTTTCCATCTTTTGACCTCATGATCCGCCCACCTCAGCCTCCCAAAGTGCTGGAATTACAGGCGTGAGCCACCACACTAGGCCTACTTTGAATTGTATATAATAAAGTGGAACTGAAATGTATTGTTATGTAGTATTGGTAATAATATTTACAGTGAGGTCTTTGCTTTCATTGGGAAAATGTTCCATGAGCACTGGAAATTGTTTTAACTACTCAGTCATTAATATTATTTGTCACTGATTTATGACTGATATTATGATCAAATATTTGAAATCAGGATCTTTTACGAAACTTAGGAGGTATGGTTGGCTTCATAGAATAAGTTTCTTCTTGTGCTTATACTATTCTCCATTCTATTATAAATGGGGAGGAATAATAAATGAAGCCTAAGGTTACAGTAGAAGGGAAGGAAAGACTGTGGCTCTGTGGTTACTTCTTTGGATTGGGAATTGAGAAAATGGTCCCTAGTATTAGTGAACTTACGCATTACTGTTTACCCAGTAGCCTGCCTGCATCACAGAAGTATATTTTGCTTTAGTGGTTAGAGCTATATTTTACTTTGGTGACATTTTACTTTAGTGATGACTTCAGTATATTTTACTCTACCCCACTCCCTGTTGATCTTATTCTTAGGAAAGGTGCTTTGTGGTATAAACTTAAAAATCCTAAATGACCACATTTTACTAAATTTTATACATATGATCACATGTTTGTCATACTCTTGTAGAATTCCAGAATTCGAATATTTAATAAAATAATACTTTTGCACAGGAAACTATATGTCAGCTAAGCTGTTACAAGTTTTTGGCAGTTGTGATCTTATTATCTGAACGGAAACCAGATGCAAATGAACGCTTTGAATCCTTTTGCTTCTGCCTGTTTCTACCCGTAAGCCCCTCAGAAGATTCCGTTTACAACCGTGTAGCTACTTGACCACAAGGAAAGAAGAAATGGAGTATGCTTCCCATTCTCTCCTTACCATAAATGTATCTATTATGATTGATGATGATTTTTCTTTCTGTTTTCTTTATAGATATAAGCAAGAACTAAAAGCTGAAGAACACAAATAAAAGAGTTCCTGATCACCTGAGCAATCTAGATGTGGACATAACCATGGGGACCTAGTTTCTTATTTGGTTATTGATAAGGCTAAGCTAACTGTGAGTTTGGAAGGCACAATAAAACTAATTAACTGTAACTAGCAGCTGGTGCTTGATTCAGCAACAAAATAAGGCAAACTTTTAATAGCAGTCTCTCTTTACATGACTTAAGGAACTTACCTGTGGATATCAGTAACATTTTTTCACCATTTGTCCACAATAAACGGTACTTGCCCATATATGCCCCCAGCCTCCTTCTGTTCCAGTCAGCCAACGTATGTATATAAAAGAGCACACAAATTCAAGAAGTTGAAAGATTAAATTTTCTGCATATTTAGTGTAGGATGGTCAGGTACTGTAAGTGAAAGGAAATTTTGCCGAAGAGACTGAGAAATGGGTAGTGGAATGACTATCAAGATGACCTCAAACTGTTTTAAAACATTTTAACTTGCCCTGAAGAATCTTGATGATTTTTTAATAAATGTTGTATAAAATTCTTTTACAGCTTCAGATTTTTAAATAGGATCATTGTAAAGATTAATAATGTTTTAATATAGTCACATAGTCCCTGGTCCATGATAAGTGTTAAATTTTTCAGTTACCCTTAGTAACTGGTATAATGTAGCTGAAAGTACTCTATATTCAGACAGACCTGAATTTGAATCCCAGCTCTATGACTTATATGTTGTGACTTTTTTTTTTTTTTTTTTTTTTTTTTTTTGAGACAGGGTCTCATTCTGTTGCCCAGGATGGAGTGCAGTTGCACAGCCTTGGCTCATTGCAAACCCTACCTCCTGGGCTCAAGCAATCCTCCTGCCTCAGCCTCCCAAGCAGCTGGGACTTTGCATCACCATGCCCAGCTAATTTTTGTATTTTTTAGAGGTAGGGTTTTTGTCATGTTTCCCCAGCTGATCTCCAGCTCCTGGGATCAGGTAATGTGCCCACCTCATCCTCTCAAAGTGCTGGGATTACAGGCATGAGCCAGTAATGACTTTAGACAAGTTAGGAGAGTGCCTAGCAAAGTACCTGGGACATATGTAGGTTTTCTGTAAATCTTTGTGACCTTTGGCCCCATTGTGAGGAGAGACTGAACATATATTACTCCATACTAGAAATAATTAACCATCTATTTGATTTGGCTTTCAATGTAGAGTGCTGAGCTTTTTTCTTAAAGTGCTAGTAAAGCCAGTCCTCATTAAAAATACAGTTAGATGAGGTTTGGTGCGGTGGCTCATGCTTGTAATCCCAGCAGTTTGGGAGGCTAAGGTGGTCGGATCACAAGGTCAAGAGATCGAGACCATCCTGGCCAACATAGTGAAACCTCATCTCTACTAAAAGTACAAAAGTTAGCTAGGCGTGGTGGCACACACCTGTAGTCCCAGCTACTCAGGAGGCTGAGGCAGGAGAATCACTTGAACCCGGGAGGCAGAGGTTGCAGTGAGCCAAGATTGCGCCACTGCACTCCAGCCTGGGCAACAGAGCAAGACTCTGTCTCAAAAAAAAAAAAATAGATGAGTCAGCAAAGCAAGTTATTTCAAGATTTGAAGAAACATGAGACAAAACAACTTTTTGAGTAATACTTTAACATATGAGATTTGTCAGTTAGCAGTTGAAAACCTTGTACTTTATCATTTGTCCCTTAACCATGGCCCACCATGGATAAAAGATTAGCGACTTTGACATAGGGCAAAATGAAGAGTTTCTAAAGAGTCAAATTATTATTGCTTTCATTTCATAAACCACATTGTTAAATTCATTTGTGTGTTTGGCATGGGTATGCACACATGTATGTGTTTCCTAGGTTAAGCAATTAGGAAAAGCATATTATGAAATATGACATAGACACAAAAAAGTTTATTAAAAATGTGTATGTGGAGCCAGGTGCCATGGCTCACGCCTGTAATACCAGCACTTTGGGAGGCCGAGGTGGGCAGATCACCTGAGGGCAGGAGTTCGAGACCAGCCTGACTAATATGGCGAAACCCTGTCTCTACTAAAAATACAAAAATTAGCTGGCCGTGGTGGCAGGCGACTGTAGTCCCAGCTACTTGGGAGATTGAGACAGGACAATTGCTTGAACCTGGGAGGCGGAAGTTGCAGTGAGCTGAGATTGTGCCACTGCACTCCAGCCTTGGCGACAGAGCAAGACTCTGTCACATAAACACACACACACACAAGTCCTTATATCAGTGAAGTTACTGAACTCCATAAAAATAACTAACTTCCACAATGGTGCACATCACTTGATTAGTACAGTTGAATTCTTTATAACAACTTTCTGATAGGCTCTTATTGAGAGCTTCACTAGTTAAGTTTTCTTTCTCAATGCCAGGTCTGACAGGTCAGTTTCAGCTCAACTCTGCCATGCATTAACTGTGAGACTGTGTTAACCTCTGTCTCTGCCCTTCAATATTTTCAAGAGTAAAATGAGGATAATCATAGTACTTGCTTCATAGGCTTGTTCTAAATACTGAGATAATGTTTTAACACAGTGCCTGGTCCACAGTGAATGTTAAAGATGTAGAAAGTTCAGAAAATGGTAATCTTATTAGTTGAAGGTAGACCCAGAAAGTACTTTCTTAGACTAAGGAAGTTTTGATTTTGCTTCTAAAAGGATATACTGTGTTAACTTACTTGGACGGTTTCTGAACTAACAACTTTTTAGCGGAAAACAAGCTGCTTGGGGTAGAGGAGAAGGAGGTGGGGTTGACAGTGCTCGATAAGAGAGAAATTCTTTAACCTTTTTTGTGTGTGGTATGACATTTCTTTTGAGGAAACTGATCCAAGGTACATCAGTGCTACCGTTTCCTCATAGTAAACACTTTCTTTTCCAAGTTATAAAGTGATAGTGAAAGGTTCAATATTAACGAGGATGGACCTCAAAGCTCAGGTTCCTTTCTGTAAAATGAAGATCTCTTCTGGAGCCTGTTTATATAACGAAGCAGAAATAGAAAACACTGGCATTTATTAAAAATGGCTCTCTCCCAAAGGGGATTGTTTAATTATATGATGTATGATTCTAATTATAAGACTGGTTTCCACAACTCACACCAGAAAATTCACTCAACAAACATAATGACCCTCTTTTTTTCCTCCCTAAGAAAACTGTGTTTTACAACATTTTGAAGCACACAGTAAACTTAATTATAGAGCGAGCTTTATATAAAAACATACACAGCTTTTTAAATAAGACTTTTTAAATTCAAATTTTAAAAGCTGTGCCCCTAAATGTTCATTGTGGTTGTGATAAACATAAGAACGTTTAGAAAATCAATACACGATTCAAGCTGTTAGAAACCATGCCACCCTCTTAAAACACATTTTTCCGGTGTCACATCAGATAAAGAAAACTCAAATCCAGTGCCCTTTGGATTTCAAGTTACCTTTGGGATAAATTTGGTTAAAAGTGTGCACTTAACCAGTCAGAAAGGACAGATATGTAATTATTCAAACAAAAATTTACCTCATAAATATGTCTGGAGGTAAGTACTGAATCTATTGTAAGTGGTACATTTCATAGGCCTGGTACAAGCTGTAACCACTATTGGCTAAAATTAGGTGTCTGCTTGCTCTGGAGATACTTCTGATAATCGCCTACCAACTATTGCCTGATTTCAGCCATCTTCCACGTGGCCAAGGAAGGAGTTGTGTAAACTACTCTGGGGTCATGTCAGTCTCTGACTTTTGCCTCAAATGTGCAGATAAGAGAAGTGGAAACAGCCAGTCCTTGTACAGATTGGCGGGGGAGGGGAGGGCAGTGCCACCCAATCAGAAGCATAGTCAGTGCCCGTGGAACAATGAGCTGCTGATGAGGGTGTGGCCTGGCAAACAGCTCTTAGACAAAACTGACATTTTATGGGTCAGCTATAGACAGACATGGCACTTCAGCTGTCTTCAGAATAATGTCACCCGGACCCCTCTCCTGTCTTCTGCAGTCTTAAAAGACCCAGTCCCTAATTGAGGTCTGGCTTTTCCTCAGCCAGATGAAGTAAAGGTATGTGGAAGTAAGAGTCTCAGCAGAAAGAATGGTTGCAGAGCTGAAGATGAGGGCGTCCATCAGGAAAGAAGACAGCTAGTGGAATGCAGAGGAGTGGGAAAGCCTGGGCTGGGCGTCAGGGTTCAAGCGTGTGTATACCTCTGTGTCAGTCCTTTACATGAGCTTAGAAGCTTGAAGGCTTAAATATTGCCTCATTGATCCTGGATGCTCTGTCCTTCTAGCTTACTCTCTTTATTTGCCTCTTCTGCAGTTTCTCACATGACATCCTCCTTTTCATCAGTCAACAACTACCAAGTGCCTACCACTTGAAGGGGGCTCTAGGACAATGCTGTGGAGGAAACAAGGATATGTAGAACATGGTTTGAAACAGAGAGCTTACAATTCAGAGGAAGACAAAATAGAAGCAGTTCAAAAGATAATCAAGGATATTTGTATGGGAAATAAGCCACTTAAGTGTAGACATTAAGAGCATAACAGCTCAGAAGAAAAATTACCATGGCTAGAGTAGGCAAGCAAGCTTTCATGACAGATAACACTGTGCCTTTAAATTCAGAGTATCTCCTTCTTAGGACTCTTGTGAAACCTGACTTTACATACAGATGAAAAGTTGAATATAAACTAAAATCTATTAGGAAATTCTAGAGGAGAGATTTAGAGAAACTGATGGATATAATCAAACCGTAATTTCTCTTTTCATTTTTGGATACTACTGTTTTCTTTACACAGTGCAAAACTACTTACTGTCTTCATTGAGGAATCCTTGGTTTATCTTTGGGGCCTCATTCACCTGCTTGCCTTTTGACTCAGGTGTCTCATTCCTAGGTGCTTCCATGCTTTGTCAGTACCCATGCTGTTTATGCTCTATTCTTAATGATAGAATTGGCCCAACAATTGGTAAGGGTACCATCAACATGCATTGAAAGTGCTCTTAAATTAAATACATCTTTTCTCTAGGTCATATACATCCCCAAAGTTGCTATAAAGCGTATACAAATGGGATATAGCATGATATAGTAGAATATCAACTTTCAAGTCCCACAGACCTGGGTATTCCAGCTGTATAACCTAGGGCAAGTTGATATCTCTGTACCTCAGTTGTCATATCTATAAAAGAGATCAGGTCTGCTTCACAGTGCTGTTCTGAGGATGAAATGAGGCAACCTATATAGAATTGATACGGCTCCGATAAGTGGAGGAACACCAGGGTTCTTGGGCCTCATGCCAGTTTAGATGAAATGATACAGACATGCGTGGAGTGGCTTTAAGGAGCAAAGAGTTTAATAGGCAAGAAGGAAGAAGCTCCCCCATACAGAGACAAAGAGAGGGAGGCTCCAAAGCCAAAAGAGGGAACCTGCAGTGTAGTGAACATCAGCCAGGTATATATTACAGAGGCTGGAAGAGGCAGTGTCTAATTTGCATAGGGTTCAGGGGATTCATTTGACCAGGGACATCATTCACGAAGCCCGTGAAAAAACTGGCCCTCCCACCCTAGCCTTTTAACATACAAATACAGGGTGCCAAGATGTTCTACATATGTGGAGGTAACTGGGAACGGCCATGTTACCAGGAACGTGGGGCAAGGACAAGAAGGCCATGGGAGGCAGACCCAGTTTCTAATGACCTACATATCAAATGTTGCTGGCCTTGCTCTGAGAGCTGGGGCTTTACCAGAAACTTTTCTGGAAATGCTTTAAAAAATGAAAACTTCCCAAGGACCCCTTTTCCTCTCCATCTGCCTAAAGTAATTTCTTAACTCCTACAACAGAATGCTTCACATAAAAAGGTCATAATAAATTATGATTACAGCGTGGTATGTGCCTGTAGAAAGGTAAATATTGCTATCACTAATCATTTTGTGATGTTGCAGAACTTCAAGCAGAAAACTGTATCTTCAAAAATAGAACATTTCTATTATCTTTTGTGAGTGTTCATAGGAAACACTCAGGTATTCATTTCAGATGCTCCTGCCTTTTAAACCTGTAATTTTCTTATTTTAGTTTCACATCTGCATATGCCATTGTAATCTCAAAATGCATCTACTTTCCTTGTTTGTAATCATAAACAGAAAAATCTGTCCAAGTTCTCAAATCACCTTAATTAAAACAATGGAATCTTAGCAATCATCTAATTCATCTGTACACTGACTAAAATCACCCCTCCCCTCACAGGGAGACAGCTATCCAATACTTCCTAAAACGGCCCAGCTAGAGCATTCATTCTTACATTGTTTATATTTGTCCTCCAGTGATCACCAGTCGTTGATCCTAGTTGATCCTGAGAAACAAAGAATAAATCTAACCCACTTTCCATCCAGTGTTAACAACTTTAGCCAAACAGTCTATACTGTGCATGTGAGGAGAGTATCGTATCGCCAGGATTGAAGGGGCTGATGATAGTAGGGCTGCTAGAAAGAATGCAATGTTTGGAATATATTTATACTAAAAAGTGGTTGTTTATTTGAAATTCAAATTTAACTGAGCATCCTCTATTTTGATTAGCTCAATCTGTCAATCTTACAAGTGGCAGCTAAAGAAATCAAAGCTGAGCTAGTGAGCTGGGGGCAGGAGAGGGAAGAATAGAGCTACGACCTGCTCAGTTCTGCTCAGTCCTGTCTCAGTTCTCTGGCTGCTCAGCACATCTGTGGAAGCCACTTCAGAGGCCCACATTACACTTTGCATATGGACCCGTGTCCCCTACCTACCCCACAGCTTTCACATTTCAGCCCTATTTGGGGTTGAAGTTCAGTAGTTGAAGATAACTACGATTTTAACCAAAATGTTGTAATTTCCTGACATTTCCAATCCCTCCCATCATTTCTCACATTCTAGAGTCAATAAACTTCAAAGAGGTCAATGAGCGTCAATCCTCTGGATTAGATCTGAACACTTTAATGTACCTTAAAATTGCATTGCATCCAAAGAGCTAATTAACATATTAAAAGGTGCTTAATCTCCTTAGTACCAACAAGGAAACACAAAACCACAGATACCACCACTTAACTAGCAAGATGACTAAAACTTGGAAAGACTGACAATAATAAGTGTTGTCTGAGATACGTAGCAACTGAGCTGTCATACCTTGCTTGAGGGAGTGTAAATCGGTACCATCACTTTGGAAAGCTGTTTGGCAAGATCTACTCAAGCAGCCGTATCCAATCATTTGGCTTCCCTGGGGCACATTGGAAGAAGAACTGTCTTGGGCCACACGTAAAATAACACTAATGCTACTAGCTGATGAGCTAAGAAAAAGAAAATTACAAAAAAACTCATAATGTTTTAAGAAAGTTTACAAATTTGTGTTGGGTCACATTCAAAGCCATCCTGGACTGCATGTGGCCCACAGGCCATAGGTTGGACAACCCTGTACTAAAGCTTAACATATATATCCTATGACCCAGTAATTTTACTCCTATGTATAAACCCAAGAGAAATGCATACATCTGTTCACCAAAACACATAAATAAGAATGTTCTCAGCAGCATTATTCATAATGGTGTAAAACTGAGAACAACCTATACGTCAATAGTATAGTGGATAAATGTTTTGTGGTATAATCAGGTGATGGAATGTTATATAGCATTGAAAATGAACAATTATTGATAAACATGGATGAATATCACAACATGGATGAATGGATGCATATCACAACAACATAAATGAATATCACAAACACAAAAGATGTAGTATGATTTCATTAATATAAAGTTTAAAAACTGGCAAATTTGATCTATGTTGTTAGAAACAAGAAAGGTTACCTCCAGGGAGAAGAGAAGGGTAGTGACTTGATGGTAGCATGGGAAAAACTTCTGGACTGCTGATAATGTTTTCCTTCTGGCTATGAATGGGTATTACATGGATTTGTTCATCTTAGAGTAATTCAAGCTATACATTTATGATTTGTACATTTTTCTACTTGTATGTTATGCTTCAATAAAATTTTTTTAAAAGATAGCATTAATTTGCAGTAAATCCAGTTTTTTTTTTGAGACGGAGTTTCGCTCTTGTTACCCAGGCTGGAGTGCAATGGCGAGATCTCGGCTCACCGCAACCTCCGCCTCCTGGGTTCAGGCAATTCTCCTGCCTCAGCCTCCTGAATAGCTGGGATTACAGGCACGCGCCACCGTGCCCAGCTAACTTTTTGTATTTTTAGTAGGATGGGGTTTCGCCATGTTGACCAGGATGGTCTCGATCTGTTGACCTCGTGATCCACCCGCCTCGGCCTCCCAAAGTGCTGGGACTACAGGCTTGAGCCACCACACCCGGCCATTAAATCCAGTTTTTTAACACCTTATGCTTATGCATTTGATTTTGTTATAAACTCTAAATACAGCATTTTACACTTATTCCTTTGAAATTTCATTATTTTGGTTGATTAAGATATTTTAAGTTCCTACTTCTGTCATCAGTGCATTAGTTATCTCACTATATTTTCAAATTTTATTTTCCCTCAGCTTTATTAAGGCAAAAATGACAAAAATTGTACATATTTATGGTGTACAATGTGATGTTTTAATATATGTATGCATTGTGAAATAATTAAATCAAGCTAATTAACATATCTTGCATATTTATCATTTTTGTGTGGTGAGAACATTTACGATCTACGCTCTTAGCAATTTTGAAGTATACAATACTTCATTAACTAGTCACCATGCTCTAGGTTACATCACCAGAACTTTTTCAACATGTCTAGTTGAACCTTTGCATCCTTCAACCACCCACATTTCACTCGCCCCGACCCAACCCCAGCCCCTGGCACCACAATCTACTCTGCTTCTGTGATTTTGACTTTTTTAGACTCTATATGTAAGTGAGCTCATTCAATAGTTTTGTCTTTCTGTTCCTGGCTTATTTCACTTAACATGAAGCCCTCCAGTCATCCGTGCCATCATACAGGAAAAGATTTCCTTCTGTTTTCAGGTTGAATAGTATTCCATTGTATATGCTATCCAACGTTTTCTTTATCCATTCATATGTTGATAAACACCTGGGTCGGTTCCATATCTTGGCTATTGTGAATAGTGCTGAAATGAACATGGGAATGCAGGCATACTGATTTCAATTCCTTTGGGTATATACCCAGATGTGGGATTGCTAGATCATATGGTAGTTCTATTTTTAACTTTTTAAGAACCTACATATTATTTTCCATAATGGCTGTACTTCCAATTATATCTTTATCAAAGTCCTCTATCATGCCCATGGAGGCTTACCTCTGAGTTGACACCAGAATACTAATCAATTTCTGTTAGGTGTGATTGTTAACCAGTCAATTATATTTTCTTTATTCCTATAATTTTGTCTCTTTTACTCACAAGGATATTAGAAATTTGGCCAAATGCCTTAAAGTCAATATGTACATTTTCTATAGCATTCTCTTGATTTAAAAGTTTAATAACTCTTCCAAAAGAAGAAAATAATGTTGGCTTGTTCTTGACTCTGAATCCATTTGACTTCATTTAATCACCTCTTGCTAATCTAAATAACCATTGAGGATGCTCCCAAATATTCTCTTTCCTATTGTGCACCTATAGGAGTGCACTTCCCTGCCTACTTGAAACTAGGTGTGGTCATGGAACTTGCTTTGATCAATGCCACGAGTAAAAGTGAAATACGTCACTTCTGGGAGTAGAATGAGTATAAACCACTGCATCCTCTTTCCCACTGCTTTGACAACCAGAATGTTCCAGCGTGGGTCCCAAAGTGAAGGCAACAACAGAGGGGAGCCCCATACAACCCATAAGGGACATGTAGTATGAGCAAAAAATTAACAAGAAATAAGCCTTTGTTAGCCAGGCATGGTGGCTCATGCCTGTAATCCCAGCACTTTGGGAGGCCAAGGCAGGTGGATCACATGAGGTCGGGAGTTCGAGACCAGCCTGATCAATATGGAGAAACACCACCTCTACAAAAAATACAAAATTAGCCAGGCGTGGTGGCGCATGCCTGTAATCCCAGCTACTCCGAGACTAAGGCAGGAGAATTGCTTGAACCTAGGAGGCTGAGGTGGCAGTTAGCCAAGATGGCGCCATTGCACTCCAGCCTGGGCAACAAGAGCAAAACTCCATCGAAAAAGAAAGGAAAGAAAGAAGGAGAAAAAGAAAGAAGAAAGAAAGAGAGAGAGAAAGAGAGAAAGGAAGGAAGAGAGGGAGAGAAAGAGAAAGAGAGAAAAGTCTGTTATTTCAAGCCATTGAGATTTTGGTATTGTTAATGAAACATAACCGGTATTATCTCAACAAATACATTATGTTTACCGGTCTGTGTTTTCTGGGATCCATGAATAGCCTCATCTTTAGAAATTCAGGAGAGAATGTGCCCATCTGTGGTATTCCAGCCCATCTCTTGTTCTCCATGATTTTTTGAGATTACTGACATTACATCTGTCAGTTCTTTGGGTATCTGTGGATATATGTTGTCCGGGACTAGCAGCTTGAATTGATTTTAAATGACTGTGTGCTTCAGCACTACTTATCTTTGATTTCAATTCTTTCTTAGCAATACTTGTTATACTTTTCAATTCTCCATGGTGGAGAAGGTAGAAACAAAAGAAAAGTTGGATACCACCCCATACGTAAGCTTCATCTTCATTCCTCTTTTATTACCTTGCTTTCAAGAAAGCCTTTAAAAATCCCTCTAGGTTTTCTTAACTTTAGCATTTTTTGTAAGTCTTTCATTCTGGACATTCAGTTTTCTCACGCTTCTCTTTTTATTATTATCATTATTATTTTAGAGAGGGGCTCACTCTGTCACCTAAAATAGAATGTAGTGGCACAATCTCAGCTTCCTGCAGCCTCAACCTCCCTGGCTCAAGCCATCCTCCCACCTCAGCGTCCTGAATAGCTGGGACTACAGGCACATGCCACCACACCTGGCAAATTTTGTTTTTTATTTTTTGTAAATATGGGATTTCACTATGTTGCCCAAGCTGGTCTCTAACTCTTGGGTTCAAGCAATACTCCTGTGTGGGCCTCCCAAAGTGCTGGGATTATAGGCATAAGCCACTGTATCTAACCTCTCACATATGAACTTCTTAAAAGTTCATATAGCACCAAATTCACTATCTGAAATTATTTATTTGATCTAATTGTATCTATTGACTGTTTCTGGTACATGCTGTGTTTTTTTTGTTGCATTTTTAATGCTACCCTTTTTTTAACCTTAGTTATATGCTTCTACATTTTGGTTACTTCTTAACATTAGAGTTTGCCAGGACTTCTCCTTTTCATGGTTATCCAATATCTAACATTTAGCACTCATTCTTTAGAATACTAAATATATTTTTAAATGTACACTATTACATTTTAAATTTTGTCTGTTAAATGTACGAATGTTTTCCCTGAGTTTTTTTTTTTTTTAATGCTTCCCTTAAGTCTAAGGGATATAAGTGACTGTCTCATTTTTTTCTCTAATAGTCTTATATATCCCACTATGACTTATGTCTGTTTGAAATTACTAACCAGTTCCTCTCTGAGAGTCAGAATTAAAGTAAAAATAACAGTTCCTTAAAAACAAAACAAAACTCTTATTTTCTGTGTAACCCATTCCAGGAACTTGGATTGCTCTGAAAAAGTAGAAGGTGTTTGCTTTTACTGTCAGGCTGGTAGGGCATGATTTTTACAACATTTGGGCATGAGCATAAGCTGCCGCAGCGGCTCCAGGAAGGCCTTAGGAAATCCTAGTTTTCTCAGAACCAGTTGGGCAGCAAACTGAAATTTCAACATTTCTACTTACTTAAGGCCTTCCATCTTTCCAGCTGCCACACACAGACACAAAAACACACACACACACACACACACACACACACACACCCCCTTCTGAACTCTTTCCCTCTGTTGATTTAACATTACACCTTTATTGCCATAATCTCTTGCCTATATACAAAACTTCAATACTCACCTACATATAAATACACACACACAAAACTCATGTCTACACTTTTTTAATTTTCAAAAAAAGAGAGAGAAAAAAGTAAAAGACCAAGGTAAAGAGAGGAGAAAAGGAAACATGAGGACAGAAGGGAAAAAAATCTGGCCGAGTGAATAGAGCTAGCAGCCCACTACACCAGGACTTGCCCTGTGAGGGCCTACCCCTTCCTGCAAATGAGTGGAGCCGATCAGCTGCCCTTTCACCCCAGCCTCTTTGTAATGGTGCTCACTTATGCAACAGCTGTTCAGGGTGGGAGGGCTCTTTCTCCGTATTCAAGCTGGCCCTTTTGAAGTGTGACTTAACAACTCTGGCATTTTCACCACTCAGTCACTTAGATCAGCAGGCCACAGTTTAGAACCACACAAACGGAGAAAGAGCAATAGGAAAATGGGCAAATGAATATGTCAGATTTCCTCTATTTCCATTTTCTTTTTAGAAGACCTATTTAGAGACTGCTTCCTGTCACCACAAAATCCTGAACATTCGTCTCGAACATGAAGCCTCCAAGAGAAGAATTCCAGAACTGGACCATAAGCAGAACCATAGCTTATTTACCAGATCTCATTGTCTACGGACGTTTCTCCCCAGACCGACCCTTCATAGATTCTTTTGATGGAGTCCTGATGTTTGTTGATATTTCAGGCAAGTGCAAAAGGGATATTTGTTTAATGTGGACGAGCAACAGGCTTCTGTGGGAATTCACGCGCAGAGCTTGACTGCAGAGTAGTGAGGCTATTCTGGAACCCCTAGGCTGTCACAGCAGATGTGCTCCATTGAGAACACAAGAGGGAGGGAGGAGACAACTTGTGGTCTTGGCTCTCTCTCATCCTCCCTTACCCAGCACTGCCAATCATGGGCATATCTTTAAGACGCTCATATCCCATTCCTTGCTCCAGTATCTCTGCCCCAACTTCGCTGACTCATCCTCCCCAGCCCCAAGCCTCACACACATCCCATTCAAAATTGACCTCAGGAAATTGAAATTGGAATTGATCTCCCTAGATGATGTTTACATCTTTTTTTTTTGAGACGGAGTTTTGCTCTTGTTACCCAGGCTGGAGTGCAATGGCGCAATCTCAGCTCACGGCAACCTCCGCCTCCTGGGTTCAGGCAATTCTCCTGCCTCAGCCTCCCAAGTAGCTGGGATTACAGGCACACGCCACCATGCCCAGCTAATTTTTTTTGCATTTTCAGTAGAGACGAGGTTTCACCATGTTGACCAGGATGGTCTCGATCTCTTGACCTCGTGATCCACCCTCCTCGGCCTCCCAAAGTGCTGGGATTACACGTGTGAGCCACCACGCCCGGCCTGATGTTTACATCTTAATAATAAACTTGCCACCTCTTCACAAGTGTTTAAAATGTGTGTGTTTTTGTTACCACGGAAGAAAAATTCTATTCCCAGTTAAAGAAGTTGCAGTTATCCCGGTACCACTGAAAATGTGGAAGCAAGAGATATCTGGAGCCCTTTCCTGACCCCTAAAATAATAAACACAGATAGAGGAAGCTGCATGTCCGACACTTGAAACAGCCACAAAGATCCTTAAGAAGAAATTCGGCCCGTTTTTTAAAGCTGAGGCCCACTGCCTTCCAGTGTAGCCCTCTTCTGGCTCTGCTTGCTTCCCCCAAGCAGCCAAGAAAACCAGCTGCACATTTATTCCAGGTTTTACTGCAATGACTGAGAAGTTCAGTACAGCCATGTACATGGACCGAGGGGCTGAGCAGTTGGTGGAGATCCTCAATTACCACTTAAGTGCAATCGTGGAGAGTAAGTGTTCCCACAGGTTTCTGGCTTGAGAATATTTCAATTCATTGTTTCTTCTGTAGTTGTCAATTATAATCTGATAGAGTACAATTGCTTAGCACTGCTCCTCTTCCCCATGAAATGTGTAAGAAACTAGTCTTTTTTGAAATATGATATAGTATAACTGAAGAAATAAATATAGTCAGACTTCACTAATACAGAGTTTTTGAGGGAAGGGATGTTTTGTGTTAAAGGGCTGAATTATAGACTGCTTTTAAAAGAACTGTAGTAGTAATATTTTTAGTTTTATTATATAAGTATTTTTATTTATATTTTATTGGTACTATTATTATTATTAGTTTTCGAGACAGGGTCTCATTCTGTCACCTAGACTGGAGTGAAGTGGCTCAATCTCGGCTCACTACAACCTCTGCCTCCCAGGCTCAAGCGATCCTCCTGCCTCAGCCTCCTCAGTAGCTGGGATCATAGGTGTGCGCTACTTCCACCTGGCTCATTTTTGTATTTTTAGTAGAGATGGGGTTTCACCATGTTGGCCAGGCTGGTCTTGAACTCCTGACCTCAAATGATCCACCCACCTTGGCATCCCAAAGTGCTGAGCCCAGCCTTTTTTTTTTTTTTCTGAGACAGAGTCTTGCTCTGTCGCCCAGGCTGGAGTACAGTGGCACAATCTTGGCTCACTGCAACCCATCTCCTGGGTTCAATGGTTCTCCTGGCGAAGTTAAGATTACCAGCGCCTGCCACCACGCTCAACTAATTCGTGGTTTTTTTTTTTTTTTTTTTTTGAGACAGAGTTTTGCTCTTCTTGCCCAGGCTGGAGTGCAATGGCACGATCTCGGCTCATCACAACCTCCGCCTTCCAGGTTCAAGCAATTCCCCTGCCTCAGCCTCCTGAGTAGATGGGATTACAGGCACGCACCAGCACGCCCAGCTTAATTGTTGTATTTTTAGTAGAGATTGGTTGTGGGGGCGGTGGGGGGGGTGTCTCACCATGTTGGCCAGGCTAGCCTTGAACTCCTGGCCTCAAGTTATTCACCTGCTTCGGCTTCCCAAAGTGCTGGGATTACCGGCAAGAGCCACTGTGCCCAACCTATCCAAGTATTTTTAAAAGCTAACATCTATATAACCCAAACACAGTCATTAAGAGATTGTCGTATGAGTATATACAGGATTTATAATTAACTTCTCAATGATTTGTCTCCTAATGATGGACACTGAAGCACTCAGAGTGAACTGAAAACTTTAGTCCCTTGTCAACCTCTACCTGCCATCTTGTTTGCATTGTTAATTCAAACTATCCATGAAGAGAAGGGTTTACTCTGTTACAGTAAACTCCTGGCCTAATGTTTCATCAGGTTCTGAGTTCCTTACTAATATCATGATGTTACCCACTAGACAAAATGTAATGCTTCATAAAAGCAGAAACTATGGTGGATTCCTTTCTGTATCTGACTTGGCACAGTAGGTGCTTAACCAATCCACGATGATGCAAAACTAAAAGAGAGAATTGCCATTTACTTCATACAGTCCAAATAAAGAAAATGCAAAGTTGGTAATAATCGAAAATACAAGTCACTATGGTTGTGATTTCCCTATTTCCTGATTCCTAGTTTTTGTGGAGTCCTGTCATTCATCCACCCACCCATGCTTACCCAAGCCCCAGCCTGTAACATATATTGATTAATAAATTAATTAAAAGCATTCCATCATCGTGGAAGGAGGGCAGCTATCTTCAGGCCTCACCAGAAACCCTACCTTCCTTTCTCCTGTCTTTCCCCATTCACGGAAGTGGAGCAGAGACATAAACTGGTGATTCTCTGAATCACTGTTCTTTTGACCTAGTTTCTATTCTAACAAAGAACGAATTTTTTTTTTTTTACTAGCTTCATGGAATCAGGGTTTGATTTAATTTGTTTTTCTTTTTGTTCTCAGAAGTGTTGATTTTTGGAGGAGACATCCTGAAATTTGCAGGTATGGGGCTTACTAAGATGGGAGGGGAAAGAAAGGAGTGCTGAGGTGCCTCTGCTCCTGCACTGGGACAAAGGAGGCATCCCAGAGAAGGGAGTGGCCAGGGGCTAAGGAATGCTTGATGAGTAAATTTCTTTTTTTTTTTTTTGAGACAGAGTCTCACTCTGTCACCCAGACTGGAGTGCAGTGGCAGATCTCGGCTCCCTGCAACCTCTGCCGCCAGGTTCAAGCAATTCTCCTGCCTCAGTCTCCTGAGTGGATTACAGGCACCTGTCACTGCACCAAGCTAATTTTTGTAGTTTTTAGTAGAGACAGGTTTTCACCATCTTGGCCAGGCTGGTCTTGAACTCCTGACCTTGTGATCCACCCACCTCTGTCTCCCAAAGTGCTGGAATTACAGGTTTGAGCCACCATGCCCAGCTGATGAGTAAGTTTCTATACAAAGTGGACTGATCCCCAGGGCAGGCAGGTCAAAAGCCCCCGGTATGTCTCTCTCTCTCTCTCTCTCTGACAGGCGATGCACTCCTAGCCCTGTGGAAGGTTGAGCAAAAGCAGCTGAAAGACATTATCACAGTGGTAATTAAATGTAGCCTGGAGATCCATGGATTGTTTCAGACCCAGGAGTGTGAAGAAGGCCTAGAGATCCGAGTCAAGATAGGTAAGCATTTGAGAAGGAACAAATCCTATGGCAGTGGGATAGGGGTCTTGACTCCTGGGGCATCTCTCTCTCCCAAAGAGAAGTAGTAGAACATGGTGGCTTAGCCCCATCATGCCCTGAACTTTGGAATCGGGACGATCAGAATGTGAATCTTGGCTTCCTCACTTACCAGTTGAGAATATTTGGGTTAATCATAATATTTACCTAATAAGCCATTATAAAAATAAATAAGTTGGTACGGCGGTTGATGCATAGGAACCACTCAACAAAACAGCCTTTTTTACTGCTACTGCTGTTATTATTATTACAACTTGCTGCTTGTCAAGGTTGTGAAGTATAAAACCAAATAGACGCTAGCTTGCCCTTACATGGCTTCAGCAATTACATGAGACTGGTCACCTCATACCTCGTAAGAATGATGTGCAAGAAAAGTTTGACAGGTCAGCCTGCTACACAGCTGCAGCTTTATAAGTCGTCTTAAGATTATACATAAGGCCGGGCGCGGTGGCTCAAGCCTGTAATCCCAGCACTTTGGGAGGCCGAGGCGGGTGGATCATGAGGTCAAGAGCTCGAGACCATCTTGGTCAACATGGTGAAACCCCGTCTCTACTAAAAATACAAAAAATTAGCTGGGCATGGTGGCGCGTGCCTGTAATCCCAGCTACTCAGGAGGCTGAGGCAGGAGAATTGCCTAAACCCAGGAGGCGGAGGTTGCGGTGAGCCGAGATCACGCCATTGCACTCCAGCCTGGGTCACAAGAGCGAAACTCCGTCTCAAAAAAAAAAAAGATTATACATAAACCAGATGCAGTGGCCCAGCACTTTGGGAGGCCAAGGCAGGCGGATCACCTGAGGTCAGGAGTTCAAGACCAGCCTGGCCAACATGGTAAAAACCCTGTCTCTACTAAGAATACAAAAAAATTAGCTGGGTGCCCAGCTACTCAGGTGGCTGAGGCAAGAGACTTATTTGAACCCGGGAGGCAGAAGTTCCAGTGAGCAGAGATCACACCATTACATTCCAGCCTGGGCTACAGGGTGAGACTCCATCTCACAAAAAAAAAAAAAAAAAACATTGTACATATAGTAACAATCACACATATTTCCTTATTACATTGCAGACATTACACACTATGCATGTGCAAACATTACACACACTATATCACAGTCCTGAGATACAGGCATCAAACTTGTATCCATTTCATAGATGAAAAATGAGATTCTGAGAGGTGTTAAGTAATGAGTAACAGCTAGAGTTGTGGTTGGTGCTGCTGGTGTTAGCTTCTGCCTAACTAAACTTTGCAAAACTAAGAATTCCCACATGTTATAACTGATGGGATCATCACCAGTTATACAATTAGCTGTTTCTCAGCCATCTTTAACCTATGTTCCCTTTTGATGTTAAAAATTTCTCCAAAAAAGTTAAATATTTTGTTGAAAAAAATCAAAGTTATTATAATACTGAATATTTTTTCTAAATTAGCACCCAGGGAGTCTGATGTGTTATCCTTCTTGAGAATAATGGGAACCCAGACACCTCTTGCACACTGATTGGCTGTTAGAGAGGTGGGTCTCAGCACCTTTTTTCTTTTTTTTTTTTTTTGAGACAGAGTTTCATTCTGCTCTTGTTGCCCAGGCAGAGTGCAGTGGTGTGATCTTGGCTCACTGCAACCTCTGCCTTCTGGTTTCAAGTGATTATCCTGCCTCTTTCTGTATCTGACTTGGGATAATCCCAAGTAGCTGGGATTACAGGCAACCGCCACCGTGCCTGGCTAATTTTTATATTTTTAGTAGAGATGGGGTTTCACCAAGTTGGCCAGGCTAGTCTCAAACTCTTGCCCTGGTGATCTGCCCACCTTGGCCTCCAGAAGTGCTGGGATTACAGGCGTGAGCCACTGTGTCCAGCCAATAAGTGTAATTTAAATCCACTTTCAGCATTATTTTTCTTAATTTAGTTAATGCAACAAACAAGACCAAGGAAAAGGCTCCATAATTCCTATGTAAAGTTTTAGAAGTGAGATTTTGGTCTGAGATAGTATAGTCCCACCAAGATTATGCTTTTTCCAAGAACCTGTGCTGCTGGGAAATAATCCAGAACTTCTCCCGCAAACCTATTCCTTGCCTTTTTGCCAGGACTGGCTGCTGGCCACATTAGCATGCTGGTCTTTGGAGATGAAACACAAAACCACTTTCTGGTGCTTGGTCCGCCAGTAGATGATGTGCGCCTTGCACAGAGTATGGCTCAGACGAATGATGTTATTCTGTCACCAAACTGCTGGCAGCTCTGTGACCGGAACATGATTGAAACGGAGAGGATTCCAGACGAGAAAGCAGTTAAGGTGGGTGTGATGCTGCTGTTTACAGAAGTTCTGCCAGCCTGTAACAGAGGCCCCCTGCCAGAAAAGTCACTGCGCACACTGGTTTCATAAAGCTCCTGGGCTGGAGACTTGGATGGGGTCAGTCTGGGTTAGGCTACAGAAGCTTTAGACCGGGACAACTCCTCTGGTAGGAGCCAGGGCTGGTGAGCTTGAGGTAGAAATGATTAGGCTTCTCTGTGTGTAACTGAGGATATGGAATTTGGGGATTGAGGCCTTTTGAGGGGCTAGTGACCTTGCTTAAGGAACAAGAAGGGTCTGCTGGTTGCCTCAGGAGCAGAGGGAAATACTTTTAAAAGCTCTCATTGACCCTTACTTTCTTTACCCAACACCCTCCTAACCCAGGGTGAGGGATCACTGAGGGTAAAGACTGGAGTTGGGCAAGTGCGGTGAAGGAAGAGCGACTTTTCCTATGGCTCTGCCTAGAAGGAAACATTGTGGTTAAGCTGCAGATTAACTATAAGCAGAACTGTCCCTGGGATATGGCCAATTAGAAAAGTTGTGCTTTGAGGGTATGAAAGTGGAAGAGAGGTGTGCTGCTAAAAGAGCCAAAGGAATGAGACTGCACGGCAGAAAGAAAGGAAGACAGAGAATCCTTGCAGATGCTGGCCAGGATAGGAGGCACGCCCACACTCAGGCATCAGTCTACACCCTCGCCACCCCCAGCCCCTCCTCACTCTTCCAGCAAGGCCCATCCAGTCCACAAGGCCTAGCTGGCTCATAGCAATAGCCCATTCCCATCCTCTTCAATCATTCTTTATACCTTTAAAAATTGTTTTAACTTTGAATTCATTTTAGACTTACAGAAAAGTCGAAAAAATAATACAGAGTTTCCATATATCCCTCACCTTCCTTCCCCTAATATTACCGTCTTTCCTAACAAGAGTGCAATAGTCAAAACCAGGAAATTAACGTTGGTACAATACTACTCACTAATTAAAGACCTTATTTGGGGGTTTCTCTTTGCTCTAATCCCCCCTCCCTCTGTCTCTGTATGAGGGAGCTGTTTTCTTCTTACTTCCTTCTTTCTTGCCTAATAAACTCTCTATTCCTTAAAACGAAACAAAAAAGACCGTATATTTGAATGTCACCAGTTTTCCCACTGCAGTCCTGGGTGGAATGTTGCGGGATTGTGTGCGTGATCTCACACTGCATTTTGTCGTTATTTTTGCTTAGCCTCCTGCAGTCTGTAACAGCACTTCAGTCTTTCTTTGTCTTTTATGACCGTGAAACTTTAGAGTTTACAGTTATTTCATCACACGTCTCTCCATTTAGTTTTGCCTGGTGTTTCTTTTCTCTCTCTCTTTTCTTCTTTTTTTTTTTTTTGAGATGGAATCTCACTCTGTCACCCAGGGTGGAGGGCGGTGGCATGATCTCAGCTCACTGCAACCTCTAACTCCCAGGCTCAAGTGATTCTCCCACCGCAGCCTCCTGAGTAACTAGGACCACAAACGTGTGCCACTATGCTGGGCTAATTTGTGTGTGTGTGTGTGTGTGTGTGTGTGTGTGTGTGTGTGTGTATTTTTGGTAGAGACAGGATTTTACCATTGTTACCCAGGCTGGTCTTGAACTCCTGAGCTCAAGCAAACTGCCCGCCTCAGCCTCCCAAAGTGCTGGGATTACAAGCCTGATGTTTTCTCTTTATTGGACTAAGCGTACGCTTTTTGGTGGGGGCAGGGAAGAAGACCACAAAAATGAGGTCATGCCATTCTCAGTGTATCATTATCATCACATGTGGCTCATAATCTTGATGTCTTATGACTGGTGATGCTCCTAATACCTTTTAGGCCAACCCTGTCCTTTAACACTTATAAGAAAGAAATGGTATGGCTGGGCAAGGCAGATCACACCTGTAATCCCAGCACTTTGGGAGGCTGAAGTGGGCAGATCATGAGGTCAGGAGTTCAAGACCAGCCTGGCCAACATGGTGAAACCTCGTCTCTACTAAAAATACAAAAATTAGCTGGGCGTGGTGGCAGGTGCCTGTAATCCCAGCTACTCAGGAGGCTGAGGCAGGAGAATTCTTTGAACCCAGGAGGCGGAGGTTGCAGTGAGCCAAGATCAGCCTGAGTGACAAGGCAAGCCTTCGTCTTGGGGGGAAAAAAAAAAGAAATAGTGTGCAGTTAAACCAGGTTTTATTTAAATTAAAATATTATGAAGGAAAAAAAGGAAGTTCTAAGGGCAGAAAAGTATAAGATTAGTCCCCCTTGGAATGACCCTCTCTGTCATTCCATATACCAAACACTGAGATCTGAGTGAAGACCGTAATTGGAAAGACTTTAAATTTTCAGTTTAAAATTTCAATTTTACAAATCAAAGATTTTTTTGGTGTTTAAGTATGCCAATACTGTTTACCATTCTATAGACAGTCAAAAGCGTACTCCCTGACTTTCTGCTGACAAGTTACACTGAGGATTAAATGGTTCTCGGAACAACTGGAAACTTCTCATTTTCTTTTATTTAGGTTAACTTCTTAAAACCACCTCCTCACTTTAACTTTGATGAATTTTTCACGAAGTGTATGACCTTCATGAATTATTATCCTTCTGGTAAGCCCAGAAGTAAGTACCCACCATGGAAAGAAGCCTTCAACTTTACCAGTGGTCAGTAGGGTCTTATACCAATGCCCACAGCTTCACTAGTGGGTGGGCTCTTCAACACAGCTCCTGGTCCTTACCAGCACACAAAGGGGACCTAATTCCCATTCTCCGGGACAGCGATTCTAAGTATGACACTCCCCACAACCTTCACCTCTCCCTAAGCGCTGACTCCTTTCCCTCACCCGCCAAACATTAATAAGTCTTCCCTAGGATGAATGAAAAAAAAGAAAGCTTCTCTGCATGCTGCTTTCCCCTCCTAACCTTCACCAACAAACTTCTCAGCAAAGTAATCTGTAAATGCATTGACCTGTTATCCTATCCCCTTATTTATTTATTCATCCAATAAATATTGATTGCAAGCACCTTGACGTCTGTGCTCACCTGCTCTTCAATCTTGTACCCCTGACATCTAGCTTCTACCCCAGCCCCCTGCTGTCTACTGAAGACTTTATGTCAAGGCCACCAAGGACCATAAAATTTGCCAAACCAGGTGACCTCTTCTCAGGCCTCATCCTAGGTGGTTGACCATAGCTTATGCTCTTTTCTTGGATACTGCTTTCTCCTTTTCCTTGGGTTCAAGAGTATTCTTTTCTAGTTTTGCTTTTACGTCTCAAATCACCTATTTTCAGTCCCCTTTGCTTAGTTTCCTTAAATGTTGATGACTTCAGGGATCTCTACTCACTTCTTAGTGAACAATTCACTCATGCTTAATTTCCATATGAATAAGATGAGGCAAGTCAGAAGCCTGTGTCACAAATCTTAAGCAGACATTCACTCTCAAGGTCCTACAAGTTGCTTACATCACCCAAGTCCCCAACCTAACTGCCAGATTTCATTTCAGTCTTTTGTCCTGAATTCTAGGACAGATTTTTGTCCCGAATTCATAAAAAACAAACAAACAAAATACCCTGCCTATGGGCCACTTCCACAGGATTCAAACAGGCATCTCATATTAACACATCCAAACTTTAGCTACTTATCCTTCCCTGAAAACCCCACCTAAATGAGAAACATCAGAAACATTTTGTCTTTCTTTCCTTCTTTCTTTTCTTTTTCTTTCTCTTCTCTTTCTTTCCTTCCTTCCCTTCTTCCCTCCCTCCTTCCTTTCTCTCTCTCTCTCTTTCTTTAGAAATGGAGTCTCGCTCTGTCACCCGGGCTGCATCTCGGCTCACTGCAACCTCTGCCTCCTGGGTTTAAGCAAGTCTCTGCCTCAGCCTCCTGAGTAGCTGGGATTACAGGCACGTGCCACCATGCCCAGCTACTTTTCATATTTTTAGTAGAGACAGGGTTTTACCATCTTGGCCAGGCTGATCTTGAACTCCTGACCTCATGATCTACCCGCCTCAGCCTCCCAAAGTACTGGGATTACAGGCGTGAGCCACCGTGCCTAGCCCAGAAAATTCTGAATCATTTTTTCTCATCATTTATGTACAGGTCTGGAATATCTTAGATGTTATAAACAGTAGATTGTACTTTCACAAAGCCACCATACGTAGTGGGGTGGGGAGTGGGGAGACTGTACAAATGTTGATCAGGAAAAGCCAAGAACCTCAGATGTCCCAGAGAGGAAGGAGAAAGCCTCATGACATTACCCACTCCTTGAGCTTTACCAGTGCCAACTCCTGGGTCTTAATGGTACCTTCTATTAAAGGGTTTCTTTAGGCCTTATTTTGAGCACCATAATACTGCAATGCAATTCTTTTTTTCTTTTTCTTTTTTTTTTTTTTTTTTTTTTGAGACAGAATCTCACTTTGCTGCCAGGCTGGAGTATAGTGGTGTGATCTTGGCTCACTGCAACCTCTGCCTTCTGGGTTCAAGCGATTTTCTTGCCTCAGCCTCCCAAGTAGCTGGGACTAAGGCATGTACCACCATGCCCAGCTAATTTTTAGTAGAGATGGGGTTTCACCATGTTGGCCAGGATGATCTCGATCTCTTGACCTCATGATCTGCCCGCCTTGGCCTCCCAAAGTGCTGGGATTACAAGCGTGAGCCACCATACCTGGCCTGCAATTCTGATGTTATAACCACCTGGAGTTAGTGCAGGACCTCATCGGTTGAGGTCCTCTACAAACTTCAGACACCAGCTACAAGCTCTGGGAACCTCAAACCACGGGCACTTCTGACCAACTGCCTACAAATGTGGAGATCCCTTTAAAATGCCCTCAGGTTCATAATTCACTGAAATGACTCAAAGAACTCAGCAAAGTGCTACACTTCCAGTTATGGTTTTATTACAAAGGATACAAATTAGGACCAGCCAAACTATAAAAAGCCACACACACATTTTTTTCACATTATCATTCTCTGTCTCCCTTATTTGTTGATTTTCTCAAGCTCATTCCTACCATCTCTTATCAGTCTATCCTAGAGCATAAACTATCGGCCTCCATAGTGAGGGGAACTATAGAGATCACGAAACTCAACTACTTTTTTCCCAGCTAAGGAAATAGGAGGCAACCAGGGCAGCAAAGTGACTTCTCAAGGGTCACACAGTGAAGCGGTATCAAGCCTGAGATCAGAAGCCAGTCTTCTTAATATTATTCCTGCTGCTCCTTCAACTCTACATCTCCTTCCTCTGTCATGCTCCTCTCTTGTCATTCCCTCATTTGTTCATTCCCATCTCCTGTGGTACTAGTTGTAAACCAATTTCAGAAGTGAAAATCTCCCTAAGTTCCAAAGCATATGTCAGTTTGAACAGGGTTTTGAGCTACATGTGACTGAATTTTGGGAAACCTGCAACCTCTGAGAGCTCCTCTTTGGATTACCCCTGGCCCTTTCAGCCCCTAGGTCTCCCAGCGTCTCCTGACAACTGGAAGGACAGGAGAGACCACTGCCCAAGGGAATAGGGACTGGGAGTCTCCTCTCACTAGCACTGCAGAGCCAAGCTTCCCTCTCTGAGCCTGCGTCCTTCTTCTGCCTTCTTAGACATCCTGAGGCTTGCGTGCACATTGAAGCCTGATCCTGAACTGGAGTTGTCCCTACAGAAGTATGTGATGGAAAGCATTTGGAAGCAGGTATTTTCATAATTGAATTTATTGGCTTTTGGGATGTCAAGGATCTGGACAGCTGGAATTTTAAGATGTAAGAAAAAAACCCAGCAGCTATTAGTAAAATGTCGCATTAAAATAAAAAGACATTCTTTTCTCTTTCTTTTTTTTTTTTTTTTTTTGAGACAGAGTCTCAATCCGTCACCCAAGCTGGAGTGCAATGGCGCACTCTAGGTTCACTGCAACCTCCACCTCCCAGGTTCGAGCAATTCTCCTGCCTCAGCCTCCCAAGTAGCTGGGATTACAGGTGGGCGCCACCATGCCTGGCTAATTTTTGTATTTTTAAGTAGAGATGGGATTTCACCATGTTGGTCAGGCTGATCTCGGTCCCCTGACCTCGTGATCTGCCCACCTCAGCCTCCCAAAGTGCTGGGATTACAGGCATGAGCCACTGAGTCCGGCTAAGACATTCTTTTTTCTTTTGAGACAGAGTCTTGCTGTTGCCCAGTCTGGAGTGCAGTGGCACGATCTCGGCACACTGCAACCTCTGCTTCCTGGGTTCAAGCTATTCTCCCGCCTCAGCCTCCCGAGTAGCTGAGACTACAGGCATGTGCCACCACAATCAGCTAACTTTCTGGATTTTTAGTAGACAAGATTTCACCATGTTGGCCAGACTGGTCTCAAACTTCTGACCTCAAGTGATCTGCCCACTTTGTCCTCCCAAAGTGCTGTGATTACAGACATGAGCCACCACGATGAGGCTAAAAAGACATTCTCTACGTGTCATTGTTCAAATCTCAATACTTTTAAAGAGGGCATTATTTATCATTATACTGTGACAACAGGCATAAACTAGGACTGCGTTGCCTTATGTAATTGGGCAGATGGAAGCTGTTGCAAGCACATGAGCTCATGTGGGCACCCTCTCTATGTGCCACATAGCAGAAGACTTCAAGTGGATGAACACTGGTACACTCTTTCTCCAAGTCATTTGCATTAGATCTTAAGTTTTGAGATTTAACAACATAGGTAATTAGAATACTCTGAGCTACTTCCACCCTCCAGTGTTTTCTCTTTTTATTCTCTTAATCTTGGTTCTCTCAAATTTATTAATCCATGTGAATTATAACTGTCTCTTAGCACTCACCATATGCCAGTCACTCTGCTATTTCATGTATTTATTTTTCAGAGTCCTTGGTAGATATTTTTATCCTCACTTTCTATGTATAAGAAAACTGAGACCCAGAGGACACTAGAACCTTTCCTGGGGTTATAAAGTAAAAGATATAGCTGGATTTAAACCCTGGTCAGTCTGAATTCTACAATTTTCACACAGGCTATCCACCCTCCTAATACATGCCTGCTTTAATTCTTAGTCCATCAAAATGCTGTTGTGTCTTGGAGGAAATCTTTGTAAGGAAGGCCTGTCCAGTGGGTAGCTGCCTTCATAGAGTAAACTGGAGAGGTATCAGAATGCACTCTTCCACCTTCAGCCCATTGTAAAAGCATTACCTCTAGTGCCTACAATTGCTTGACTCTTCATGGCTTTCGAAGCTTAAAAAAGTCTCCCCATGCTCCCCTAGCCATTCTCAAGAGGCATAATATATTATGCTTATTTAGTTGCAACCAGCTGAAAGCAAGGTCTTTAGTACTAGAATATTAGATGGACTCTGTGAGTCACTGGGAAAATTCCAGGCAGGAAAAATGTTTACCTGTTAAAGGTACAGCTAAGAAGAGGGTTGAAAACAAGACCAAACACAGCCTTCTACAACTTTACCAAGGCCAGCCCCTGCACCTAAAGAAGAACGGTCCTTAAAGATACTGTGGTCCTCTTTTCCAAGCCCAAACTCAGAATCTATCATCTGACAGAAGCTTTTCATTTATTTGTGAATGCTTTTATTTGAAAAAATCAGGGCCAGGTGTGGTGGCTCATGCCTATAATCCCAGCACTTTGGGAAGCCCAGACAAGTGGATCACTTGAGCCCAGGAGTTCAAGACCAGCCTGGGCAACATGGCAAAACCCTGTCTCTACAAAAATATAAAAATGAGTTGGGTGTGGTGGCATGTGCCTGTAGTCTCAGCTACTCAGGAGGCTGAGGTAAGAAGATCATTTGAGCAAGGAGATGGAGATTGCAGTGAGCCAAGATGGCACCACTTGCACTCCAGCCTTGGGGACAAAGCAAGACCCTGTCTCTAAAAAAAAAAAGAAAAAAACTCAGTACATCGGTTAATTAGAAATTATTAAATCCCCTTTTATAAAAAGAATAAAATTACAGGAAACCAGGGCCATCCTAGGCAGTCAGGAAGCATAACTGCATTATTCCCTATACCAGTTCCTTCTTTAGTCTAGAAAATGTGCTTCATGTTGTCAGTGGAGAATCTGACACTTCTGTGGGAGAAAGTGCAATGATTTTTCCCCATTGGCTTGCTATGTACTTAATTAACAAAATTCAGGGATGATAATTGGCAGGAATAGTTTGGGAACACTCTCCTTTCTTTTCCCTGTGCCTGTTTTGGGTAGGCTTGGAGAGAAGAGGGGACCTAAATGAAATATACCACCCCCAAGAGGCAGGAGTATCTGGTAGATTAAATGTTGGATGAGGAGTCTGGAGATTTGGGTTCGAGTTTGTTGGGTCCTTATGTGACCTTGGGAAAGTTGTGTTACTTCTTCATGCATCAGTTACCTAGTCAGTAAAATGGGGATAATAATACTGATTTCATTTTGTTTAAACATAGAGTAAAAGAGAATGTGAAAACATTCCAGAAGGTTGCTATTCTTATCCCTAACTAGAAAAATAAGACAGTCAAACTCCCAGATGGCATCTATGGACCTGTCTGGGGCCTGGGGGAACTCATCACCCTGAGGGGAATGACATAAGCCTGGCTGGCTTTTCCACCGGCTGATTGTAGAGCCCTGAGGCCTTGAACAAAAATAGGTGGTAGCCCGATAGTAATCACAGCGAGCCTTGGGCAATATCCACTGCTGTGCTGGCTTCAGTTCCGGCCAATGCAGTCCCAGTGATCATAGCCACAAGGGTGCTTGTGTGACCCCACCCCCAGCTCCAAGCAGCTCAGCATAGAGAAATAGAGACTTGTTTGTTTGGGAGAAAGTAAGGGGAGAGAACAAAAGTCTCTGCTTGGTAATCCAGAGAATTCTTCTGGATTTTTTTTTTTTTTTTTTTTTTTGAGACAAAGCCTTGCTCTGTTGCCTAGGCTGAAGTACAATGGTGCAATCTCAGCTCACTGCAACCTCCACTTCCCGGGCTCAGCGATTCTCCTGCCTCAGCCTCCTGAGTAGCTGGGATTACAGGCATGTACCACTGCACCCAGCTAATTTTTGTATTTTTAGTAGAGGCAGGGTTTCACCATGTTGGCTAGGCTGGTCTTGAACTCCTGACCTCAGGTGATTCACCTGCCTCGGCCTCCCAAAGTGCTGGGATTACAGGTATGAGCCACTGCGCCCAGCCCAGCATTTCTAGATGCTAACAGTGAACAATCTAAAAAAGAAATTAAGAAAGTAATTTTGTTAACAATAGCTACAAATAAAGTACCTAGTAATTAACCAAAGAAGTGAAAGATCTCTATTATGAAAACTGTAAAACATTGATGCAAAAAAATTGAAGAGGCCCTCCCAAAAAAATGAAAGATATTCCATGCTCATAGATTGGTAGAATGTCTGTACTACCCAAAGCAATCTACAGATTCAATGCAATACCTATCAAAATACCAGTGACATTGTTCACAGAAATAGAAAAAGAATTCTGAAATTTACATGGAAACACAGAAGACCCAGAGTAGCCAAAGCTATCCTAAGCAAAAAGAATAAATCAGGAGGAATCATATTATCTGGTTTCAAATTATACCCAGAGTTATAGCAACCCAAATAGCATAGTACTGGCGTAAAAACAGACACAGAACCAGTGGAACAGAATAGAGAACCCAGAAATAAATTCCTATGTCTACAGTGAACTCATTTTTGACAAAGGAGCCAAGAATATACATTGTGGAAAAGACAATCTCTTCAATAAATGGTACTGGGAAAACTGGATATCCATATGCAGAAGAATAAAACTAGACTCCTGTCTCTCGCTGTTTATAAAAATCAAGTCAAAATGGATTAAAGACTTTGAGACCTCAAACTATGAAAGTACTGCAAGAAAACATTGGGGAAACTTTCAAGGACATTGAAGTGGGCAAAGATTTCCTGAACAATACCCCACAAGCACAGGCAACCAAAGCAAAAATGGACAGATGGGATAACACCAAGTTTTAAAAGTTTCTGCACAGCAAAAGAAACAATCAACAAAGTGAAGAGATAGTATAAAATAATTTGCAAACTACCTATCTGACAAAGGATTAATCACCAGAATACATGAGGAACTCAAATAGCTCTATAGAAAAAAATCTAATAATCCAATTAAAAAATGGGTAAAATATCTGAATAGAAATTTCTCAAAGGAAGACATACAAATGGCAAACAAGTATGTGAAAAGGTGCTCAACATCATTGATTATCAGAGAAGTGCATATCAAAACTACAATAAGATTATCATCTCCAGTTAAAATAACTTTTTTTCTTAATATGGAGTTTTGCTCTTTTTGCCCAGGCTGGAATGCAATGGCACAATCTTGGCTCACTACAACCTCTGCCTCCTGAGTTCAAGCGATTCTCCTGCCTCAGCCTCCTGAGTAGCTGGGATTACAGGCATGCAGCACCACATCCAACTAATTTTGTATTTTAGTAAAGATGGAATTTCTACATGTTGGACAGGCTGGTCTCAAACTCCCAACCTCAGGTGATCCACCCGCCATGGCCTCCCAGAGTATTGGGATTACAGGTGTGAGCCACTGCACCAGGCCAAAGTGACTTTTATCCAAAAAACAGGCAATAAATCCTGGCTAGAATGTGGAAAAAAGGGGATCCTTGCCCACTGTTAGTGACAATATAAATTAGCACAACTACTCTGGAAAAGTTTGAAAGTTCCTCAAAAAGCTAAAACTAGAGCTACCGTACAATCTAGAAATTCTACTCCCAGATACATACTCAAAAGAAAAGAAATCAATATGTTGAAGAGATACCCAAACTTCAATGTTTATTGTAGGGCTCTCCACAATAGCCAAGACTTGGAAGCAACTTAAGTATCCATCAACAGAGAAATGGATAAAGAAAATATGGTACATATACACAATAGAGTACTTATTCAGCCATTAAAAAGAATGAGATTCTGTCATTTGCAGCAACATGATAGAACTGGAGGTCAAGAGGTCATTATGTTAAGTGAAATAAACCAGGTATGGAAAGAAAAACTGCATGTTCTCACTTATTTGTAGGAGCTAAAAATTGAAACAATTGAACTCATCAGGATAGAAAGTTATAAGGATGGTTACCAAAGACTGGGAAGAGTAGTCAGGGGTGAGGAAGAATTGGGGATGGTCAATGAGTACCAAAAAATAGAAAGAATGAGGAAGTCCTAGTATTTTCTAGCAAAACAGGGTAACTGTAGCAGAAAATAATTTAATCACTGATATGGTTTGGAGTTGTATCCCCTTTCATGTTGATATTCACTTGGGGTGGCTGGCAAAATGTTAACTATTAGGAAAAGTTAGATTGTAATCTCGAAACTTTTGGAAGGCTGAAAGGTTTTATTGAGGCACGCTGAAGGCAGCCGCCTCATTAACATTAGCATAGGAAAGAAATAGAGACCATCAAAGGCTTTACCCCACATCCCTTTGTCTCTAAACTGTTTACTCATGTAAACTTTGTGCTGGATGGTCCTCTCAGGTGGAGATCAAAGGGCAATTACCTGTTAATGTTTACTCTGGGGCCCCAGAACCTAAAGCTTTTGTCAGTAGTAAAACCATTCTCTTAACCATGTTAATTATCTACAAGTGTGCTAACTTAGAACCTCTATTGTAAAATGTATGGAATAAAATTGTGGATGAACAGGGAGTCTTGGTTGATTGGTTGCATTTCACGCTCTGAAAGCAGCCAATGGCCATCCCTAGCCCACTGGTATCACTGTAATGGTGTGAGAGTGAACTCATTCAGCCATCATTGAGTCAGGGTCTGCAGGCCAGACTTCCTTAGGTGGTGGTCAACATCTCACTCCCAAATCTCATGTTGAATTATGATCCTCAGTGTTGGAGGAGGGGTGTGGTGGGAGGTGACTGGATCATAAGGGTGGATTAACCCCTTACTATTCTCATGATAGTGAATGAGTTCTCACAGGATCTGCTTGTTTAAAAGTATTTAGCACCTCCCCCTGCTTTCCTCTGGCCATATAAGATGCGCCTGCTTCTTCTTTGCCTTCTATCATGATTATAAGTTTGAGTCCTCCCCAGCCATGCTTCCTGTACAGCCCATGGAACTGTGAGTCAATTAAACCTCTTTTCTTTGTAAATTATCCAGTCTCAGAAGTTCTTTATAGCAGTGTGAGAATGGACTAATACAATCATACATTTTTAAAATAACAAAAAGAGTATAATTGGATTGTTTGTTAAATGCTTGAGGGGATGAATAATCCATTTACCCTGATGTGATTATTACACATTGCATGTGTGTAGCAAAATATCTTATGTAACGAGTAATCCTGTTAAAGATCGGCCATCAAAACCACAGTATGGAGAATGTTGTTCAGTTGCATTTGCATGCCTAATATTAGCATATAAAGACTGACCAATTTATTTCTTCCCAAATGACATCTCAAAATACATAATTTCAGGATGAATGGACCACTGAAATAATGCATTCGTATGACTATTCAGGGGTTAGACCAGTCATACTGGCAATTTAAGTGGTCAAATCATTAATGTAATCTTTGCAACCACAGATGCACGAGTAAGTCGATGTCTTTCAACAGTTAAAACCCTCTACAATGCTTTGTCATAGCAAAGCCACCTAAACTCTGTGTAGTGCTTCACATCCAGTTTATTCAGCAATATCACCTTGATGAAAGTTACAGAAGCATAGTGAGCTCATGGAATTCATTGCTAAGTTCATAGTATTGTCCAGTTACAACTTTAAAACAAAAAATATTTTTTAAAAAAACTAGTTCAAAATGTGCTACATGAGCTAAAATTCTACATTGTTGCAAAATGTTCCCGCTGTGTGGGTTAGTTTCTTAGTAAATCACTTTAACACCAACCATAGCATCAATACTCTATCTTGCTAATTTGACCAGTCTATAGTCAACTATTCAGTTAACCCTGTTTCACTATGCAAAATAAGTCATTTCATGATATTATGTAACCAGAAGTATGATATACAGCAGTTCCTGGGTTAAATCAAAGTTGACATCAACACCAAAAACAAATATAATTAGGCAGTACTAGAATGGCAGATAGGTAGGTAGATAGGTAGATAGGTAGGTAGGTAGGTAGGTAGGTAGGTAGATAGATATAAATCTATCCATGCTTTCAGCAGATGCCACAAATAATTTTTCCATGTAAATTAAATAGTAAAATCTTAGCACTAACTTGCCAAGCAACAGCATTTCCAGCTAGAACTTTATTTGTAAAGCTTGTTTCTGTTCAGAACACATCGTTTCTGCTGTACTCAACAGACTTTAATAAACCTACCATCTGTAAATATATATATATCTCATGTAACATGTAAATATATACATCTACTATAGACCTAAAAAAATTAAAATTAAAAAAAAATTTTTTAAATAAGAAAGCCAAAAAGAACAGTAGTTCTTTCCCTTATTGCAATGGCTCATATTGGCATGAGGGAGCCAGCAGTTGGGGTAATGGAGTGGTCGATGACCAAAAATTAGCACATATGTAAGTCCCCACTGGAAGAGAGGGATTTTGATTCTATTTCCATCTGCTTGACTTCAGGCCTGTTGGCTCTGCCATGTTGTATCTCACACATTCTGAGGTAGACATTCCCTAGATGATTACGGGTATGAGCTGGGGGCGGAGCTGGAGGAGGGACACTGCCAAGGACACCTGCTAGAGAAAGCTGCTCTCTACTTTGCAGATCGATGACAGACAGCTTCAGGGCTATTTGTCTGAGCTTCGCCCAGTGACGATTATGTTTGTGAACCTGATGTTTAAAGATGAAGAGAATGCAGAAGAGGTAGGCCCAGCCATCCAGGATGCCTGTGTACACATCATTTCAGTCTTGAAGCTCTTCCGAGGCCAAATCAATAAAGTCTTCATGTTTGACAAGGTAAGTGTGAGCTATGGGATGAGAACCTACCAATAGTTTCAGGTTAGCATTCATGGACAAGTACATTGGTGAGCCAGAGAGAATAGATTCTAGAAATTTAACCTAGAGGCCAGGCGCAGTAGCTCACACCTGTAATCCCGGCACTTTTGGAGGCCCGAGACAGGCAGATCACTTGAGGTTGGGAGTTCAAGACCAGCCTGGCCAACATGGTGAAACCCCATCTCTACTAAAAATTTAAAAAATTAGCCAGCTGTGGTGGCATGCACCTGTAATCTCAGCTACTCAGGAAGCTGAGGCAGAAGAATGGGTTGAACCTGGGAGGCAGAGGTTTCAGTGAGCCAAGATCGCACCACTGCACTCCAGCCTGGGTGATAAAGTGAGACTCGGTCTCAAAAAAAAAAGGAAATTTAACCTAGAAATCCAGTCATTATTTATAATTATAATAACTTCTATGGTGGATAGAGTGCTTATTATGTGCCAGGCACTGTTCTCAGCACCTGACCTGTACTGGCTCATTTCATCCTCATGACCACTCTGAGCAGTAGGTGCTCCTGTCATTATCCTCATTATATAGATGAGGATGCTGAGACAGAGATGAGGATACCAGGACAAGGCGAGATTACATTTACCTCATGATCATCCAGCTAGAAAGGGGGAGGCTGAGATTCAAACCCAGGCAGTCTGCGGTCCCTGTCTGAGCTCACTATGCGGGGCTACCTCTCACTACACGTAAGACCTCTCCAGCCGAGTGCATGGTGGCTACCTCTCACTGGCTACCTCTCCAGCCCAGCGCATGGTCTATCACCCAGGGGTTTCTGGTCAGGAGTCTAGTAATCTTCACACCCCAAAGCTTGTTTTCAAGAATGCCCACCTGCCATGTCAACATCTCCAGTTCCCCTTTTATTTCCATCCACGGAAGGGAGGGGACTGCCTCTGGCTGCTCCCAGGTGTTTTCACTCTGTTCTTAATCAATTCAGAGAAAAGCGACGTGATGAACAAATGACCACAGATGCATCTGTGAGAACTGATTTCCCATCTCAATCATTTTTGTGTATTAAAAACAGAGCACTTAATTATGGCCCCACATCCACTCATTCACTAATTCAACAAGCATTTACTGAGCATTTCTTAGAAGACTGAAAGCTAGGGCTGGGCAGCAGAGATGAGTAGCACACACATTGCTACACAACCAGGGAGGAAGCACTTATTCCACAGGAGACAGAATAACTCTGTGCTATGGGAGTTCTGGGAAAGGGACTACTGCTGGCCTGGTGCCTCCAGTATCTTCTTTAATATTGACTCATGAGTATCGTAAGAAAAGAGTGAATAATCTAAGAGAACAGTCTTTCGTGTCTTACAGACATGGCTCCAAAGATTCCTAGCTGTTAGACTTAATGAGTCATTGAACTTCTCTGAGCCTTGGTTTATTCCTCTTTGAATGGGGATAGTATTTGCCTCAAATGACGGTGGAAAGTTTTGAATAATGTAGTATGTAAGAGGCACTTTGGTGTAACGCCTGTCTTAGATCTAGTCAGCATTAATAAATGAGAGCTGCCAGTGTATGACTAGGGGGAATCAAAAGCTCTTGTCAAGCCACTACATAAATTTTCAGGCAAAAGGGCTCTTTGCTTCCCCCAAAGGGGTTGCCCTCTTTACACATGCCTGGAAGCAGATTTTCCCCCTTCATGTGAAGCCAGATCCCAGTCCTTTTTAAGATCTAACAGTTGATGAAATTCTTTTGGAGAGGGTTAAAATAATTGAGGTATTTTAGTGTTTTTTTGCATTTTATCAGGATGTAACATGTCAAAAAGTCAAAATTTTAATCCGTCGCCCTTTATTCACAATACCCTTTTCTTACAGACAACAGCACCTGACTGAGGTCATTCTTTAAGTGACTAATACTACAACTGTCAAGCTTTAGAGTTAAATCATTGCTTTGAACAGTTAGCTTTATGATAAGAAAACCAACTCACAGCCTAAGCCTTTATCCCTAAGAATGACGACAGTATCTGAAAAGTACTTTTCGGTTTATGACGACTTTTTGAGTATATATAGCACATTCATTCTTTTAGTAGCCAAAAACATCTCAGCAGCTCTACAGTATACCCATTTTCAGATTGATAAACTCAAGTTCCTAGATTATAATTGACTTCTCTAAGTTTCCATAGTTCAGAAGCGGCTTGAGAACAGACACTTTCTGATTCCAGAGCTGGTGCCTTTTCCTCTGCTCTGAGCTGCTCCTTCACAGACTTAAACTGAGCACCTTGCCACGTGGGACCTTGGCCACAGGAGAGAGTAGGCCGGAGCATGCACACAGATAGCTCAGCCCTATTCAATATCTCTGGAGCAAAAACAAGCCCTTCTCAAGGGCTCAAGCCCTCCTGTCGATGGTGCAGTAGAAATGATTGAAGTGTACTAAAAATAAAATACTGTGAGAGAAATCATGATGAAATCTGATTCAGAAACTGAAAATTGCCTCCGGCTCTCTGTTGAGCCTTCCTGCCCGTCCAGTTTAAAGCACACTGTCCACAGCTGTGGTTGCTGTCTCTCTCCCTCACAGGGCTGCTCCTTCCTCTGTGTCTTTGGCCTCCCTGGGGAAAAGGTACCTGACGAAGTCACTAATGCTCTGGAATGCGCTATGGATATATTTCACTTCTGCTCTCAAGTCCACAAAATCCAGTAAGTATTGACCCTGGCCCACCCAGTAGTCCCTGACCCTTTTGAAGCATAAGTAGGGAGGGCATGCAGGGAACAGAAAAGAAAGAACAATTAATTAAGAATTGAGTCCTGTATCTCAAACTGCTGTTCCTCCTTCGCATCTCCAGGCTACGTACAAATGCCATAAACTAATTAAAATGGGTAGAGAAAATCCTTTCCCACTCTTTGCCAACCCATGAATTATTTCCCACCCTTCCCACTTTCTCTGCACTCATTATTTTTATCTCTTTCCCCACAAATCTTGTCTCCCCTGCACCAGAACTGTATCCATCAGCGTTGCCAGTGGAACTGTCTTCTGTGGGATCGTTGGACACACTTTGAGACACGAGTACACAGGTGTGCTGAGTCAGCTCATCTCCACTTTTAGCAAACACAGCACCGTGCCACTGGGCTTTGTGGAATGAAGCACAAAAATGAGTGAGACATGAGCCCTGCCTTCAGATAGTTTAGAGTTTTCCAGATGGAGCCAAGCCCTGGAGATCTCAGTGGTTGCAGAGCATGCATTTCCGGGTCTATGCATGAGTATGAGAAATATGTTGTCATGGGAGGAGAGCAGTGGGAGGCTATATGTTGTTGGAATGAGGGGCTCTTATAATAATTTCCTGTTAACATTAAATATTTACTTCTCTTAATTCCTGGAATAGGTTAGAATTCCTTAAAAATTATGAATATTGGCTGGGATCACTCCTGTAATCCCAGCACTTTGGGAGGCTGAGGTGAGATCAGGAGATTGAGGCCATCCTGACCAACATGGTGAAACCCAGTCCCTACTAAAATACAAAAAATTAGCCAGGTGTGGTGATGCGCGCCTGTAGTCCCAGCTACTCGGGAAGCTGAGGCAGGGGAATCGCTTGAACCTGGGAGGCAGATGTTGCAGTGAGCCAAGATCGTGCCGCTGCACTCCAGCCTGATGACACAGCAAGACTCCATCTCAAAAAAAAAAAAATTATGAATATTGATATTACTGAAAAATAATGATACTCTGAAAAGAGAGTAGTAATAAGGAAACGTTATGTCCAGATTTCACTTCTCTATTACTTCCCTCTTCAATCCTGTCCGTGTTTATGATTTTCAGCAATACTGCATCTAAAATACTGAATATATGTAAAATACCAAAGTAGTCATGTCTGAAATGATACAATGTCTGAGATTTTCTTCAAAAGTACACACGGTGGGGAGTGTATGTGGGTGAGGATGGAGCAGGATTGGCCATGGGTTAACAGCTCATTGGAATGGGGTGATGGGTGTATGGAAATTCATTTTATTTTATTTTATAGTCAATTTTCTCCACAATAAATAGTTTTTAAAAAGTGTATCTTGTTCAGAAGTATTCAAGCTTATGGTAAAGTGACACATTTGCTACCTCATTTGTGGTAATATAATTGAGGGCTTACAAGCAGGCAGCTGCTGTTCAAAGTGAGAAACATGTATTAACTCATTAATCTTCATAAACTACCCTCTATGATAGATACTATTATCATCCCTATTTTATGGGTTAGAGAACGAAGGCATGACAGTTATTTAAAGTAACTGTCCCAAGTAATTTGCATATAGTAGTTAGAGGTAGAGCTGGTGTTCAACCCTGCACAGTCTGCCTTCAGAGCTTCGCTTCAATCCTCCATGCACACCTCTTCTAGCGCCGTTTACTAAACCGAGAAATCGTCAAATGAAGGTTCATTCACAGGCGCATACAGACACAGTTTTGTGTCTCACATGGGGATCAGTACCCCAGGCCCCAACTTGTGCTTGTCCACCTTGTAGCAGAAGACCAGCTTATACCTTCCTGAGAGCCTTCAGTGCTGTGGTCACCCCACTTACAGAGCCTACTCCATGCTCAAGGCCCTTCCATCCCTCAGCAGATCAATCTCTTGGCCTCCCAAGTGAGGCAGAAACTTTGCTAATGGCTACCTCCCTGCATATTTTGTTAATAGCCATTGGCTGAATATGGGTCTTGAGGCTAGACTTGTGTGTCATTCATGAGAAGCAAAGGGAGTAAAAGGTAAAAATGCTATTTGGAGACAGTATGTTTCCGATTACATTCAGTTCAATGGCGGTTATTTCCCTGACCTTTCACTTTCTCTTTCTTGTTACAGTCATTGGTCAAAAAGTCAACATAGCTGCCAGGTTGATGAATTACTTCCCAGGAATTGTGACCTGTGACTCTGTCACCTACAATGGGAGCAACCTACCATCATACTTGTTTAAAGAAGTTCCGAAGAAAGTTATGAAAGGTGTTGGAGATTCTGGACCATTCTATCAGTGTTTGGGCCTTAATGAGAAAGTGTGAGTGTGGGGCATTAATTTTGGCAGTATATGTTAGTAAAGAAGAGGGAGAATTATGATAGCAAAGCATCAACCATTTAAGATTTGGAGCCAATTCAAGAAGTTGAAATCCATGCTTTCCCCAGACCAAGGCCCAGACCAAAATCTTTCATCTTTTCTCCATCTGACTGACAATATGGCATGGTGGAAGATCCCATTCTCTCCTCAGATCTGAGAATCTGAGGGTGACTCTTCAAAGAAGAGTACAAACCAAAGAATCCTCCCATCTGAGTATCTATTTACACCCAATGGACCCAATCAGCAACCATTAAATATTTACTAATGATGCCAACCATATGCCCAGGCATTGTTAGGGTTAGAAGAGTATAAGATACTATATCTCCTCTAAGTCTTTAGTGAAATACATTCCCCAAAAGCTCAGCATAGATTTGTGGGTGTCACTTTGAAGCTTAAAATCCTTCAATGGATTCTAGTCATTTTCATGGTGATGATCAAATTCTTGGCAGTGATATATAGGTACCACCTGCCTTTCCAACCTCATCTCCTCCTGTGCCCCCTCCTCTGGGATGTTTAAGTAGATTGTCCTCATCAGCACCCACCCATCTCTGGTCTACTAGGAAAATCACAGTCAATATTTGAAACCCAGCTCAAGGGTTTCATAGACATTCCTCTATGAATTCCCCATCCCAACTAGACAGTTAAGCTCTTTCCTCCTTTGTCTTCCTTCTTCCTCTTCCTTTTTTCCTCTGACAGCATATGCCTCTAGTAGAGCACTCCTCACCCTATATCACAATTATTCACTTGATATACTTTTCACTTGTTAAACTGTGAAATCTGTGAAGATACTAATTCTTTCTTTATTCTTATATCCCCAGTGGTTGGCATACAGTCCTCAATAATAATGAACAAATAAATAGCGTGGAAAGCAGAAAGTTGTTATTCTTTATATTAGCAGACTAAAATTGAGGTCTTCCAGGGTCAGATAACAGAATCAGGGCTGCAGTTGGGTCAAGGTGTCTCTAGTACTCACTTAAGCATTCCTGAGGCTTAGCACTGTGCTTGGCATACATAGGCCATCAGTAAAGTGCGGGTTGAATAAATGAATGAATATTTTTAGTATTTATTAAACATCAGTTACTTTATCTTAAAATGTACAGTCATTTTTTTTTTTTTAGACAGTCTTTCTCTGTCACCAAGCTGGAGTGCAGTGGCGTGTTCTTGGCTCACTGCAACCTCTGCCTCCTGGGTTCAAGTGATTCTCTTGCCTCAACCTTTGGAGTAGCTGGGACTACAGGCACGCACCACCACGCCCAGCTATTTTTTGTATTTTTGGTAGAGTCGGGGTTTCACCATGTTGGCCAGGAGATGGTCTGGATCTCTTGACCTTGTGATCTGCCCGCCTCAGCCTCCCAAGGTGCTGGGGATATAGGCATGAGCCACAGCGCCCAGCCAATTTATTCTTAATATTGACCATATGAGATAGAAACTATTAAAATTTACATTTTATAAATTTGAAAACTGAGGCTCAGAGATGTTAAAGGACTTGTCTATGGCCATTACTGAGCAATGGAGCCAAGATTCAGTCACAATAATGTGGCCTTACAGGCAATCACAAAGCCTCTGTGGTGTGCAAAAATAAACATTTATTTTTCTCACAAATGTGGGGTTCAATTGTTCTCGGCTGGATTTGGTTGATCTTATCTTGCCTTTTTCACATGCCTGGGGTTCAACAGGCTGTTGGCCAACCTAGGATGGCCTCAGTTTGGGTAACTGGGGCAATTTGGCTCCATGTGTCATCTTCCACGCGGCATGTTTGTCCTGGCAATATTAGAGGAGCAAGAGAACAGGCCCAGTGCAAAAGCATTTTTCAGGCCTCTTACTATGTCTATGTTTGCAGATATCCCACTGACAAAAGCATCCACAAGGCTGAGTCCAGAACGAGAGGACTCTGCCAAGTTACATAGCAAGGGGCATAGATACAGGCGCTGGGGCCATTCATGCAGTTGATTTACTATGCAAACCCAGGACTATCTGATCCCAAAGCCCGCAATCTTCAAGATTTTTTTTTTTTTGTACCATCTCTGTAGATAAAAAGGTGCAGAAATACACATACAGATATGAACAGGGCCTAGTTCCTGCCCTGAAAATTCACAATCAAGTAGGGAAGACCAACATACAAAAAGTTAGCTGTACGTTACATGGGAACCTTTGATAGATGCGATAAGAGAGGCATAACAAAGTAGTATTGTAGTTCAGAGAAGGGCATAATGCATTTTGACAAAGGGCTTCTTCGAGAGATAGTACTATGGAGTGAGCAAACATCTGCAGCCTGGTCTACGTTTGGATACTGTTAGTATCCTGTGTTACCACCTGCTATGGGAACTTGGCAGTTAAACTCCTTATGCCTGAATTTCCTCACCGGTAAAATGAACTTAGTAATAATACTTCTTTGTTGGTTTGAGATGGAGCTTTGCTCTTGTTGCCAAGGCTGGAGTACAATGGCATGATCTTGGCTCACTGCAAACTCCGCCTCCTGGGTTCAAGTGATTCTCCTGCCTCAGCCTCCAGAGTAGCTGGGATTACAGACGCATGCCACCACATCAGCTAATTTTTGTATTTTTAGTAGAAATGGGGTTTCACCATGTTGGTCAGGCTAGTGTCGAATTCCCAACTGCAGATGATATACCTGCCTCGACCTCCCAAAGTGCTGGGATTATAAGCATGAGGCCTTGTGCCCAGCCAGTAGTACTTTTTAACAGTGTTTTTGTCAGGATTTTAAAAATGATGCATATAAAAAGCACTTTGCACCAGACACATAGCATGTGCTCAAAAAAGGTACGTTATTATTGTTTGAGCAACTGGTGGAATCTCTGCAGGATGTGTGACTCTGCCCCACGTTAAAGTCTACTGGGTCATATATCAGGTGTCTGATCTCCCCAGAATGGGGTTTCCTCTACCAGTGCAGAATCAACAAGCATTTATTGAACAATATGCCAGGTACTATGGTAAACAGATGCTACCTGAGTTCTTTGGAATTCAAGTAAGACCGTCTCCTCCTTTCTCCTTCTTTTGGTGTTTGCTGGTGTTTGCAACTCTTGAGTCAGGGGATAGACTATTGTTAGCGATTGAGAAGGAAACTTTCTGGGAACTAAGAACTAGTCACTCTTGCTCTAATTGTTCCCCGTTTTGAATCTAACATCTGTTCTTTTGTTCTTCTCTTCAGCATGTTTGGTGTGTCATATGTCATCTGCAACAGAAATGAGGGCTTCCCTTTGCTGGGTAGGTAGCAGGCTTTGATTTTAAACTTCTTTATTGAACTATAACAAAACATGCAGAAAAGTACATCAATGATAAGTGTGTGCTTAATGAATTATCACAAAATGAAAATATAATCTTCATCCAGGGTAGGAAATAGAAAAATAGCAATACACCAGGATTGCTCTTTCCTACTTCCTTTCCCCAAGACTTCTAACACCCTTGATTACTTATGCCTGTTTAAAACATTGATACAGATGGAATCATACATTGTATATATGCTTATATCTACTTTCTCTTACTCAATGGTATGTTGTATAATTCATCCATTTTGTTGGGTGTAGCTGTAATTCATTCTCTATAATTACTATGTAGTATTCCACATTTATACATATACAACCATTTGCCCATTCTGTTGTTATACAACATCTGGGTTATTTCTAGCTTTTGGTTCTTATGAATAATATTGCCATCAGCATCCTTACACTAGTCTTTTGGTGAACACACATATGCATTTCTGTTGAGTGAAATTGTTGGGACAAAGGGTGCAATTTTGGTAAATGATGCCAAATGGTTTTCCGAAGTGGTTGTATTTATTTATACGCTGACCAAGAATGTTAAGAGAGTTCCACTAGTTCTTCATCTTTGTCAACAGCTTAATCAATCTTAATCCTTTCAATAATTCTGTTGGGTATATATAGTGGTATCTTACTGTGTTTTCCATTTGTATTTCCCTAATGTGGTTGAGCTTCTTTTTCATAAGTTTATTGGCCATTTGGATTTATTTATTTATTTATTTTGAGGCAGAGTCTCACTCTGTTTTCCAGGCTGGAGTGTAGTGGCGTGATCTCATCTCACTGAAACCTCTACCTCCTGGGTTCAAGCGATTCTCGTGCCTCAGCCTCCTGAGTAGCTGGGATTACAGGTGCCCACCATCATGCCCAGCTAATTTTTATATTTTTAGTGGAGATAGGGTTTTACCATGTTGGCCAGGATGGTCTTGAATTCCTAACTTCAAGTGATCTGCCTGCCCTGGCCTCCTAAAGTGTTGGGATTACAGGCATGAGCCACTGCCCCAGCCCAAACTTTTTCTTTAACATATCTGTACAAGTTTTCACCGATTTTTCAACTGGGTTGTATTTTGATTATGTTTTGGAATTATTTACACATCCTAGAAATGGGTCTTTTGCCATTTGTTTGCACTGTATATCACTTTTCCAACTCTGTGCTTGCCTTTTTACTCTCTCAATTACGCATTTAATAAACAGAGCTCTTAATTTTAATATAATCAAATTTACCTGTCTTTTATAGTTAGTGCTTCTGTCTACTATATGAGATATCCTTCCTCACCCAAAAGTCGTGAAGATTTTTTTTTTCAGAAATTTTGTTTTTACCTTTTATATTTAAGTCTACAATCAATTTGGAAGTGATATTTTTGTGATTCCTGGTAATAGGGACCTTATTGTAAAAGAGATAACTTGAGATTAGACAAGGGAGTCGACCTAAAATGAGGCAGGGATATACCCATGAGAGAAGAGACCCAACGAAGATTGGCCTGTGGATTCCGAAGGCAGCCACTTCTAGCAGCACTTGTAATTTCCTTCTGTCAGACACGAACATCCCCGAAAGTCTTATCATAAGTTAAATCTTGGTCCTCACTGTGTTAGGGCAATTAAGAGGAGGCTCTGTCTCACACTTTGGAGAAATGTCAGGCCACAGTCTCGGTGTCAGCAGAGCCTCAAGGAGGGCAACAGTTCCAGACTGCAAAAAATGCTCGGGCCAGCAGAAATGCCCAATTTTCACTTCAGGTAGTTTTCAGAATCTTCAAGCCAATCGCTTCATTTAAATCCAGATTCCCAAACTCCTGAAGCTACAAAGGAGAAGGAATACCCACTCTCACCCTCCTTTGAGGCCTTACTCTTCATCCTGGGATATAATTGACAGCAATGGAATCCTAACCTTCTTTCTACAAGATCACAGACCCAATACGACAGTCACACTAGAACATATTATGTGTGTATATATACATATATATATATATATATATATTTTTTTTTTTTTTTTTTTTTTTTGAGACAGCGTCTTGCTCTGTCCCCCTGGCTGGAGTGCAGTGGCGCAATCTTGGCTTACTACAACCTCCACCTCCCAGGTTCAAGTGATTCTTTTGCCTCAGCCTCCCAAGTAGCTGGGACTACAGATGTGTGCCACCATACCCGGCTAATTTTTATATTCTTAGTAGAGGTGGGGTTTCACCATGTTGGCCAGGCTGGTCTCGAACTCCTGACCTCAGGTGATCCAGCCACCTCGGCCTCCCAAAGTGTTGGAATTACAGGTGTGAGTCACTGAGCCAGGCCTATGCGTCTATTTCTCAGTCTGGTCTAATTGCCTTTTTGCCCTGATTCCACCAGGTATGACATAAAGAACAGGCCCACATACCTTTCCTTGAAGTTATAACCAAATACAGATTGTCAGAGGCTAGCAGCATGGGAAATGCCCTTCTTTCACAAGAGCTGCTATAAATGAAATTGCAACAACATGGTTGACAACCAAACTATAATAAATAAATTGTGTTATATTGTCCTCCTTATGTTCCTTAGAAAAAAGTTCTATTTTAATAATTAGGCCCACAAATTGGGTGTAATTTAATATAATATAATTATATTCATTTGTAATCTAATGAAAACAGAGAAAAAATTTTATGTTAATAATGCATTTAAATAGTCATTAAAAATAGTAATACAACAAACTATACATCTATAAATTCTAAGGATATTTTGATAGCATCCCTGAAGTGGCTTCTGTCAAACAAAAATTAATCTAGGATGCTCCCCGGAGAGAACGGAGCTGCTTTTGAAAAGTTGAATAAAGTGGAAAAAGCATGCTAGGAAGTAAACAATGTAGGCAAGGTAGGTGGGGATGAACAAGGAATGAAAAATTCACTAAACCAAACCACTCATTCATGATCTACCTAAACAGAAGTGTCCGTTCAACAGTAGAAAGTCTTACTGGTAAGAAAGAAATATGGTAATACAAACAATGTTTAAGAAAGTAAGATAAAAGTTAAAAAAGAAAAAAAAAGTACAAACCTGACCATTTCACTGGCTTCTCTAGCCCGTGAATAACACTCGGTGGCCCTCCTCACCCAATCTAGTTTTAATTTATTACTCAGTCACTTCAACTCTGTTCTTACAGAACACCCTAGATCCTGTCAGCCCCTTCACTCTGCCACATCCACCCACCAAGGCTTGCCCTAGTTGAGAGTGAGCTTAGGAAATCCAGTGGATCTACGATCAAAGCCATTAGGCCTTGGGCACCTGACTTCATTACTCCAAGCCCATTTCCTCACTGGTAAAGTAAGAATTACATCGCTTACCTGATATATACATCGACGGAGTTATGTATATAACTTGGACATAATCTACACTAATAATCTCCTATCTACTGTTATTCTCCAATAAACTTCACTACTTGCCATTCCTAAATCAACTAATTAATTAATTAATTGTGGCTTTTTAGGGTAAAAAAATGCATACAACAGTCCCTGATATTGACACTTTGCTTAGATAGAAACAAGGAGCATGCATTTCAAGTTAAAGAGACAACCTCATTTTAGAATCCAGCTGAAGGTAATTCATAAGGTCCTACCTGTAGGTGTAGGACTATGCAGCCTTTTAAGCCTCATCTTATGAGTTCCTATGTGAGCTTCCGGCCAACGAAAAAACATCTCACAAAATTGAGGTTCAAATGCACTTTCAGAAAGGGAATATTTCACTCAAAAGAAGCAATACAATCTGCTAAGTAGTTCTCACTAAGCCATACTCAGAACTTTATATTACCAAGCAAAGCACTTAGCTGCTTTTTTTTTTTTTTTTTTTTTGAGACGGAGTTTCGCTCTTGTTACTCAGGCTGGAGTGCAATGGCGCGATCTCGGCTCACCGCAACCTCCGCCTCCTGGGTTCAGGCAATTCTCCTGCCTCAGCCTCCTGAGTAGCTGGGATTACAAGCACGCGCCACCATGCCCAGCTAATTTTTTGTATTTTTAGTAGAGATGGGGTTTCACCATGTTGACCAGGATGGTCTCTATCTGTTGACCTCATGATCCACCCGCCTCGGCCTCCCAAAGCACTTAGCTTCTTTTTATTAAACCTCTACACTTGTATTAACGGTCCTTCAACAAGGACATTAGATAATACCTGGATATTATCAGAGCAAAGAAGGAATAGTTGGTTCTGAATGAGTCTCCAACTTTTTTGACAAAAATTGCTCATGGCTTAGAAATTACAGTTCTTCCAGCTCCTTCCTGTTTACCCAGATTTCAAAGACTGTGAGCTGAGTTTCAGATTTCAGCCTGGGTGTCCTGTTACAGTATTTAAAAATACACAAGAAAAATAAGGGTTGTAACCCAAAGTGATTTTTTTTCTTTTTCTTTTCCAAGTTTTCCATATTTTCTACAGTAAGCATGTTAGTTTTATAATCAGAAAAAATCTACAATTTATTTTCATTAAGAATTTAAGATGCTTTTATGATCGGAATAATCTAACATGACTTTTGAAGGCAAATTCAATTTTACTCCTGGCAAGGCTTTTTGTAGCCCTGAATTAGCCTAACTTTCATTTATAGAGGGCAAGTTTTCTTTATTACAGAATCAGAAGTAAAATTATTTTATCCATAATTCTTTAAATGTAGAAAACCTAACTTTGATAAATTTAGTTCCTAATGTAATAGTCTACAGATTACTTCTAGAGTGTTATTTAAAAAAACAAGTGCTAGAGTTACTTCCTGGTTGTGTAATCTAAGCAAATCTGAGTTTTCTACACTATAATTAAACGTTATAACGAGCTTTATAAGGATACCTTCCCTCACAGCCTCTAATCACATAACACTGCAAAACCACATGGTTAGCTAAAAAGCTTTAAAACATTTTGAAAGTTCATAGGGCTTCAAGAAAGTCTGAACAATGCCATGGAAATTTCAAGGATTTTTTTTTTTTGAGACGGACTTTTGCTCTTGCTGCCCAGGCTGGAGTGCAATGGTGTGATCCCGGCTCACTGCCTCCTGGGTTCAAGTAATTTTCCAGCCTCAGCCTCCCAAGTAGCTGGGACTACAGGCAACCGCCACCACGTCATTTTTTGTGTGTGTTTTTAGTAGAGATGGGGTTTCACCATGATGGTCAGGCTGGTCTCAAACTTATGACCGCAGATGATCCACCCACCTCAGCCTCCCAAAGTGCTGGGATTACAGGTGGGAGCCACTGTACCCGGCCCAAGGATATTTTTAGAAGTGTTTCTATGTGTTTTTTTAAATATCCCTAGACTATTTTATGTTGATGAGTTTGCTCTTTTTTAACACTAAAAATAACAGGACGTGATAAAGAGATCAAATACTTCATTGATACTATGAATGAATTTTTGACGTCTAACAGCAGCCAAGTCTTAATGTATGAGGCATTAATGGGATATGGAAAAACCAAGATACTTACGGAAATTGGGTACCTGGCCCACGGTGAGAACCACAAGTAAGTGTCTTGGACTAATCATTCTGTGTGAACTCAGAATCCTGATTTATTTGGATGTTCCTCTCCTTCCTATAATTTGCCTTATGTAAATTATCCATAATCTACAATTATTGGGTGCCATGACCCTTATGCTAAATAGGTAATTAACAATAAACATACAGAACTAAGAAAAAGAGAAATGGGGTTGGCCCATGGATATCCTGATTTAATGCCAGGTAGGGCTTGGTTATTCAAAGGTTCTTAAGTAATCCCAATAGTCAGACAGATAAACACTGGCATGGATGTTGAGATCAAGGCTAGGTTTGGTCTGCAGAACAAATACATAAGTTTAGCTAGCTAGCTGACAGGGAATCACTAGTTTGAACTATTTAGTCCTGAGACTAGGGATAGAGAATGACAGGTCTTTGGATTTTTCCCTGGAAGATAGAGCTAATATACTTATGCTTATTTATTTTCATATAAGGAATATTATGAGGGCTATCTTTGGGACAATCTGTTCTACTTCCTCATGGAAGTAGATAATACAGTATTAACAGTAGTGAGGACCAGGACAAAAAGGATGATGTCTCAAGTCTTTTCCCCATCTAACCTAAACTGTACAAGGGGAAAATGCTTGTTAATCTACATTATTTTTAGTTGTATCTCTATATCTCTATCCCATATTAAAGTCAGGCCTGAGAAAGGCCAGTTTTAAAACATCTTTACCATAGCTGAGGGGATATTTCGCAACAGTCAGAAAGTATTTGTTTATTTATATATCCAATCATTTATTAAATTTCTACTATGTTCAGGAACTACTAAGTGCTGTATTCATTAGCCAGGGCTGCTGTAAAAAAGTACTACAAATGGGTGGCTTACAATAGAAATTTGTCTCATAGTTCTCAGAGGTAGGAGTGTGAGATCAAGGCATTTTTCTTCTTCTCTGGACCATGAGGAAGAATCTGTTTCATGCCCGTCTGCTGGCTTCTGGTGGTTGCTGGCAATCTTTGGTGTTCCAAAGACGGCTTGTAGAAGCATCACCCTGATCTCTGCCTTCATTTCCCATGGCATTCTCCCTGGGTGTCGTTTGTGTCCAAATTTCTCCTTTTTCTAACGGCATCAGTCATATTGGATTAGAGGTCCACCTACTCCAGCATGGTTTCATCCTAACTAATTATATCTGCAACTACCCTGTTTTCAAAGAAAGTCACACTTTGAGGTCCTAGAGGCTAAGAATGTAACACATGAATTTTGTGGGGACATGTGTCAACCCATAACAAGCGCCAAAGCCCTGAATGTGAATGAAGTCGATCTCTGCTCTTAAGGAGCTCTCACAGAAGAGGAGAGAATAATGTGTTAGTCCATTTTCACACTGCTATAAAGAACTACCTGAGACTGGGTAATTTATAAAGAAAAGAGGTTTAACTGACTCACAGTTCCACATGGCTGGGGAGGCCTCAGGAAAATTGCAATCATGACAGAAGGCAAAGGAGAAGCAAGGAGTGTCTTACGTGGTGGCATGAGAGAGCGAGCAAAGGAGGAAGTGCCGAACTTTGAAACCATCAGATCTCGTGAGAACTCCCTCAATATCATGAGAACAGCATGGGGGAACCGCCCTTCTGATCCAATCACCCCAATAACCTCCCAACAGGTCTCTCCTGACAGTCAGGGATTACAATTTGAGATGAGATTTGGGTGAGGACACAGAGCCAAACCATATCAGATAACAATAGAAGTAGAATGTAGTAAGGGCAACGATAGAGACACGCGGTAGAGAATTGTGGAAGTTCAGAGAAGAAAGGGTATGTAGCCAACCTTGGGGCATCAGTGACAGTTTCCAGGAGGCTACACCTGAGCTGAGACTTACAGATGAACTTCAGCTGAGGGGAAGTAAGAAGTGATGGCACTCTAGGCTGAGGAGACAGCGTAAGCAAAGGCATGAAGAGGAGAAACAGCTCTCAGCGTGCAGGGAATTCTCACCTGTGTGCTGTTGGTGAAGGGTAGATTGCTAGGCAGAGAGTGGCAAGAAAGGACAGAATGAGGCTTTGTAAAGTCTTATGTGTCACATAAAGGAGGCCTGGGCTCATGTCTTTAGGCAATGGGAGCTCCCAGTCAGAGGGTCATGATCCTGGATGGGGGTAGTGGCTTGCTATTGTGGTAGTATAGGGTGGCAGAAGGACTAGAAAGGAGAATTAGCTAGGTTAAATTAATCAGGGCTTAGGAACAGGAGAATGAGGGAGTATTTCAGAAGCACCAATAAAGAACCATTGCCCCCAGCACTTTGGGAAGCTGAGGCAGGTGGATCACGAGGTCAAGAGATCGAGACCATCCAGGTCAACATGGTGAAACCCCGTCTCTACTAAAGATACAAAAAATTAGCTAGGCATGGTGGCAAGTGCCTGTAATCCCTGCTACTCAGGAGGCTGAGGCAGGAGAATTGCCTGAACCCAGGAGGCGGAGGTTGCGGTGAGCTGAGATTGCACCATTGCACTCCAGCCTGGGTAACAAGGGCAAAACTCCGTCTCAAAAAAAAAAAAGAACCATTGCCAGATAGCTTGGAAAATCTCCATCATTACAGCTGAATATGAGAAGACAGAGCTTTCCTTCAATCTTTATTATTTTCAAAAATATATATTTAAAAACTCTCTTCTGATTCTTGATTTTCTCACAAACAGTGTTATTGCCATTGAATTGACTAAGATGAGCTTCCATCAGCCTTTCCACACCATCCAGATGCTCGTAGCCAGTGTCCTAGGCCTGGGAACTTGTAAACATTATAAAGAACGGCAGACCAACCTTCGAAATAAAGTCATGACACTGTTGGATGAAAAGTTCTACTGTCTTTTTAATGACGTTTTCCTTGTTCAGGTAGCTAGCTAGTTTTATACTTCTGCACAAATAGCCGTGGGCAGGCACAGCAACTCCTCCCTGGTGCTTTGTGACTTAGCATCTCTTTGGTCTATATATCTAGAGTATTCAGACAGTGAGTAAATGGAATCCTCTTTGGATTTCCATCCACATTCTTGACATATTAGAGGTATCTAGAAATACCACACTCAAGAAAATCCAAATGGCCATTTGCTGACTCATTTTTTTCTTACCTTTCTATCATAGCTATCCTATACTAGCTACTCTGGGGCACAAAATCACTCTGTTCCTACAAGTGATGTCAGTGCAGACTGTGCCCTGTTTTTTCCTGAATTATCTAACACAGGGGTCCCCAACCCCTGGTACCAGATCATGGCCTGTTAGAAACCAGACCACACAGCAGGAGGTAAGCAGTGGGTGAGCAAGTGAAGTTTCATCTCTATTTATAGCCGCTCCTCACTGCTTGCATTGCCACCTAAGCTCCTCCTCTTGTCCATCAGCAACAGCATTAGATTCTCGTAGGAGCATGAACCCTATTGTGAACTACACATGCAAGAGATATAGACTGTGTGCTTCTTATGAGAATCTAATGCCTGATGAACTGTCACTGAATCCCATCACCCCCAGATGGGACCATGTGTTCATGGAAAAATTATCTTCCACAAAACTGGGGGCTGGTGCCAAAAAAGTTAGGACCACTTATCTAACACATGAGGATTTTAAGACACAGAACAGTTAAGTGTTTTGCACAAAGTTGCACAGCCAATAGTTTCCTTTGCTATTTTCCTATACTCAATATTCTCATAATTCTTTGTACAGTTCCCTGTTTCTCAGGAGATTTCCAGTATGAGCACCTTGAAAAAGCAAAAGCAGTTGGAAGTATTGTTTATGAAGATCTTGGAGCAGGTAAGAGCATCTGTGGGTCAAGAAGTTGGGGGAACAAAACTGGGCAAATCACCACAAAGCCAAGTGGTTTGAGGGGTTCAGACCACATTGGCAGGAGGCTTTTGAAGTATGTGAAGGCTTTATCTTAAAGTGCTTCATTGTCCTCCATCCTCCTGAACCTCAAGCTAAAGGTCTGTTTAGAATTTAGATGCCTTGAAAATAGATATTTAACATTACTCCTAGGAGTTTGACCTCTCTCAACACTCTTTCTTTCATCCTTTGTTGAGATGTAACGTACCAAAGTGGTTACATATGCATGCTCTGTAGTCAGACTACTGAGGTTTGAACCCCTAGGCCTGTCACTTGCTACCTGAGCAACCTTGAGCAGTGACTTACCCTCTCTATGTTTGTTTTATCATCTATCAAATGAAAGAAAATAGTACCTAGCTCACAGGCATGTAAGGTTTAAATGACTAAATTATATGTAGAAACACTTAGAATAGTGCCTCTTTCATGAGAAACACTCAACAAGTGTTAACTCTCTCTCTCCCAGTAATTTCATGACTGTCTACTATATGTTGATCACCAAATTTATATTTCAGTCTCCACCCCTCTTATAAACACCAAAACCGTATCCCCAAGAATCTTCTATATATTCCCCTTGGATGTAGTGGCTCATGCTGAGTTGAGCATCTAATGCCAAATTTATAGTTTTACGATAGTGGCCTTTCTTCCTCATCCTGATCCTGATCCCTGATTTCATTAGTAGCAAATTATGCCATCCTTCATCACTTAAAGTTATCCTTGCCTTCGTTTTCACCCACACTCCCACATTTACTCAAGTCCTACCATTTTTACTTGAGACAGTCTCTGGAATCTCCTTGTCCTCTCTTCCTATTGCCATATTTCAGGCTCTTATCATCTTTTCCTGGACTATTTCCATATATTTCCAAATAATCTCTGTGCTTCCTACCTCTCCATTCCAATTCATCCTTCATATAATTATCAGAGTACATGCAAATCACACCAACCCATACTTTATACTCTCCAATTAAGTCCCAGTGGTAATAAGATAAAAGCCAAAAGATTTCCTTTTAACCTAGAGAAATGCCCCTCATCCTTCAAGGTCACCTCTTTGGTGAGAACTTCCCCAGATCACTAGGCATGACTAATTCTTTTCCACCAGGCTTCCATAAGGCTTTGAACACATGTCCAGACATACTATACACTTGATACTATTATGGTATGTTGTCATTCATTGCTTGTATATCTGTTTTTCTCTCCCTCAGGAAATTGTGAGCTTTTTTTTTTTTTTGAGATGGAATTTCACTCCTGTTGTCCAGGCTGGAGTGCAATGGCACAGTCTCGGCTCACTGCAACCTCTGCCTCCTGGGTTCAAGTGATTCTCTAGCCTTAGCCTCCCAAGTAGCTGGGACTACAGGTGCATGCCAACACACCTGGCTAATTTTTGTATTTTTAGTAGAGACAGGATTTCACCATGTTAGCCAGGCTAGTATCAAATTCCTGACCTCATGATCTGCCCACCTCAGCTGGGATTGCAGGCATGAGCCACCGTGCGTGCCTGGCCTCTAAGCTTCTTAAGAACAGAGAGTCTCTTAACATTTCTGTATCACTATTGATGAGCAATGTTCCTGGTACATAATAAATGATCGAAGTAAGTTTGTGGCATTGTGTTATATTTGTAATATAGCCTTCTTCTCCGCTTCAGGTCATGCGCAAGAGAACGTCAGTAGCTTCTAAATATCAGGCTTTAGACTGTTTGCATCACAAGTATTTACAGGAAGCTCCTTTAAAAATATGGATTTGTGGGCCGGGCGTGGTGGCTCACGCCTGTAATCCCAGCACTTTGGGAGGCCAAGGTGGGTGGATCACGAGGTCAAGAGATCGAGACCATCCTGGTCAACATGGTGAAACCCCGTCTCTACTAAAAATACAAAAAATTAGCTGGGCACGGTGGCTCGTGCCTGTAATCCCAGCTACTCAGGAGGATGAGGCAGAATTGCCTGAACCCAGGAGGCGGAGGTTGCGGTGAGCCGAGATGGCGCCATTGCACTCCAGCCTGGGTAACAAGAGCGAAACTCCGACTCAAAATATATATATATATTGGTTGGTACTGAAGCAGAACTTTGTTTGGAAACCGCGACTAAGGCTGTGCTTTAGGTGCTGACAAGACTTTGGACCATTAACTATCTGTGTGACCCTGGCCAAATTACTTAACCTCTTTATGCCCAAATTTTCTCAGGAAGTGCATTCAATAGTACCACTTTATATGGATGCTGTGAGGATTAAATTAATTATATAAAGAGCATCCCGGAGCGCCTGGAACATAGCGTTGGCTTTTTTTCCACATCAGAGAGAACCCAATCCTCATTTTACATTGGGAGAAACCAGGCCAATGTTTAATGATTGAATTCATGCTTTTTTTGTTCCTGCTTTATTCTCTTCAATATATGAATTACTCATTAGCAAGGCTATCCTAAGATTAAAACCTACATTTCTATCTGCCCCATCTTTTTAAAGAGACCAGTGAAAATCAAAACAATGTAGTGCCAACCTCCTCACTAATCAAACTGTTCTCGGGGTTAGTCAAGGGCTAAGTATTTGGTGACAGAATGGGGCTGTAGGAGTAGACTTACGTGTATGTGAACAAGGCAGGTTGTAACACTTTACAATGACTATCAAGCACAAAGAGAAAGAATGGGCTAACCCAGTCTCTTCTCAGAGGGAAACAAAAAGCAGGCATTAGCAGTCTGGAGCAGTAAGAACTGGGGAGAGGGTTTTCTCCATTGTGACATCGTACACAGTGGTAAGGCAGAGCCTGCTATGCAGGTGCTTGACCTAAAATGTAGGCTCCATGTTTTGTTTGAGACTGTATTCTCAGTACTTAGAACAGCACCTAACCCTAATAAATGCACAATAAATGCTAAATGAGTGGATAAATACTTCAGACTACTTAGGGAAGGGTAGTCTATATGAGAAAGGGACACATGATCTGTGTTTTAAGAGTAACACATACCACAGTTCAAACTAGAATAGCATCAGCGGCCCGCAGGGTGAGGACTAGTTTCGTTTAGCACCTAGCCCAGCAGGGGTGGTCAGTAAGCATGTGTTGAATACATGTTGGTTGAATAAATGTCAAGTAGATTTTCCCAGGAGAACTTCATTGTTCAATAGATTAAAATGACTCGTAGTTAACAAATCAGCTCTTTTTATGTAATGGGCACTTTCAGTTGGCTTTTGCGAGTACCCCTAAAATCCCATCTATCCTACAAATCTGCACTATTTTTACACAAAGTTTTGACCAAGTCAGAGTCCGTTCCAGCCAGCTCTGTCCAAATAGCCACAAATTCTAAGTTAATGGAATATAAATTAAAGCAAAGTTACCAGAAAGAAAAGATTGAACTTAGCTAGTGCTTTCACTGCATCATAAGCAAACCACGAAACTCAATGGATACATATGCATACCCATACACATGTAAAAAAAACCTGACACCCTACAGAGTTTCTCTTTCTATTTCTCTATCCTGTCCAGACTGTGAAAGAGGAAAGGATTATTTTTATCATTGATGAGGCCCAATATGTGGATCCGACCTCCTGGGCATTTATGGAGAAGCTTATCCGGACTGTTCCTATCTTCATCATTATGTCCCTGTGTCCCTTCGTTGACATTCCCTGTGCAGCTGCCACTGCCATAATGAAGAACAGGAACACCACCTACATCAGCATTGGTCCAATACAGCCTGATGACATCTACACCAAGGTCTGTCTGGACCTCAATGTAAGCAGGATCCCCAAAGAACTGGGCTCGTAAGTAACCTCTTTCTATTCTGAACTCTTGACATGTGCATTCATTCCCTGGGTCCAGCCTTCATCAGATTTCTTAGTGTGTGTCTTGAAGTGCGTATTTCAGTATCTTTTCTGGCTCCTCCATTTGTTTTTGTTTTTATTTTTGAGAACAAAGTCTCACTCTGTTGCCGAGGCTGGAGTGTGATGGTTCAATCCTCTTTCTCCCAGGTTCAAGTGTCTCCTGCCTCAGCGTCCCAAGCAGCCAGAATTACAGGCACGTGCCACCATACCCAGCTAATTTTGTATTTTTAGTAGAGATGGGATTTCTCCATGTTGGTCAAGCTGGTCTAGAACTCCCGACCTCAGGTGATCTGATGCCTCAGCCTCCCAAAGTGCTGGGATTACAGGTGTGAGCCACAGTGCCTGGCCAGCCCCACCTTTTTTAAAATTTTTTTTTCTTTTGAGACAGGGTCTCACTCTGTCACCCAGGCTGGAGTGTGGTGGTGCCATCATGGCTCACTGTAGCTTCAACCTCCTGGGCTCATGCCATCCTCCTCCCTCATCTTTCCAAGTAGTCAGGACTACAGGTGTAAACCCCTGGTAACTTTTTGATTTCTGTAGAAATGGGGTCTCGCAGCGTTGCCCAGGCTGGTCTTGAATTCCTGGACTCAAGCAATCCTTTCATCTCAGCCTCCCAAGATGCTGAGATTATAGGCATGAGCCGCTATGTTTGGCCTGGTTCACCTTTTGAAGGGGCCATTCGTAATGCTTGGTAGGATAGATGTGGCTTACCTTTTCCATGTTGTCTCCCTGTTACGCCTTCTCAAACTTTGCTTAGTGGGTTTATTTCACTTTCATCATGGGGGGTATGGGTATACTCACTTTAACATACCGTGACTAAGAGCATTGTCATGGGCAAGTGACAGGAAAGGCAAACTGGTAAGCCTTAAAGACCACGACCTGCCACGAAGCAAGGTCTTATCTGGCTGACAATGGTGTGGTGTGGTATTGGTGTTCTCTGTCTATGGCAGACGTGGAAAGCTGATTCACTGGTGAGTGCTCTCTGAGCTTTTCAGTGATTCCTCTACTCGGGTCTTGACAGCGGTCACCTTAACAACATCGACAGTGTTTCTTCTTTCGCCGGCTGTTTACAGCCCATCTTAGTATCTGCAATGAGTTGTTGCTCCTGGAAGAAAGATGTCTTGGACAAAGGCTCATTTAAGATAACTCCAGGCACAGTTTTGGCCCTTTCTTTTTTTTTTTGAGACGGAGTCTTGCTCTGTCACTCAGGCTGGAGTGCAGTGGTGGGATCTTGGCTCACTGCAACCTCCTCCTCCCAGGTTCAAGTGATTCTCCTGCCTTGGCCTCCCAAGTAGCTTGGTCTACAGGCACCTGCCACCACACCCAGCTAATTTTTTGTATTTTTAGTAGAGATGGGGTTTCACTGTGTTAGCCAGGATGGTCTCTATCTCCTGACTTCATGATCTGCCCACCTCAGCCTCCCAAAGTGCTAGGATTACAGGCATGAGCCACCGTGCCAGGTCTCTCTCTGTTTAAATTATATAAAATACATATATCTTTCCAAAGCCAAAAAGGTACATCCTCCGTCTTGTTTCCCTCCCTTATCCTATAAGTAACCATTTGGATTTTTGGCTTATCCTTCCAATGTCTCTTTCAAAAACTATAAAGTGTGTGTACACTTATTCCATACACACATAAGTGAAATAAAAAGTAAAAAAAAGCAAATGCCTCAAAATTGAAAACAAACAGAAACAAACGAAGAATGAGAAGAAATTATTTTCAAGTGATTGAGAAGACAAATGTTTTTCCTTCCTAAAAGATGTATCTTCAATGTAAACAGATTGCCTTGTTTTCACTGCAGGTACCTGGTGGAGAAAAGCAGTGGGATTCCATTTTACTGTGAAGAATTGCTTGAAAGCCTAGAACATCACAATGTACTCGTTTTCCAACAAATGGAGTCTGAGGAAAAGACAAATATGACCTGGAATAGCCTGTTCCGTAAGTCCCATGTCGATGGTTCTTTTTTGCTCTGTTCTGAATGACTTAAGTCTTCATTCAGAGAAGGTAGGAAGAACGAGCTATTCCATAGGCTGCTTCCTGTAGAGTCAGAGGGTTCTGGGGAACCAAGAATTATTAGATCTGATAAACCAGATTGTAAGAGAACTTAACATTGCTTGGGACTCCCTGGACTGGGCTAAAGAATGTATAAGTATGGTCAGGCATGGCAGCACATGCCTGAATCTCAGCACTTTGGGAGGCCGAGGCGGGTGGATTACTTGAGATCAGAAGTTCAAGACCAGCCTAACCAACATGGTGAAACCTGTCTGTATTAAAAATACAAAAATTAGCCAGGTATGGTGGTGGGCACCTGTAATCCCAGCTACTTCAGAGGCTGAGGCAGGAGAATCACTTGAGCCCAAGAGGCGGAGGTTGAAGTGAGCCAAGATCATGCCACTGCACTCCAGCCTGGACAACAGAGTGAAAGTCAATCTCAAAAACAAAATATGTAACTATAGTGGAAATGACAGAACATTGACAAATCTTAAGGCCCAGAACTGAAGGCCAGCTTCATTATTATCTTCAAAAAAAACCTTTCCTTTCTTGCTAGAGGTAAAATTTCTACTACAAAGTAAGTTTATCAACAAAGATCCCATGCTACAAATATGTACACAGGAATGAAATTTGAAGTGATGGCATGAAGGAGACCATTTGGAATTTTTAGGAAAATAATTTTAGTGCAGGGAGAAGGTTGGGGCAGAGGATACGGTAAGAATACAAGATAGAAAGTAGAGAATCAAGGCTATAGCAACAGCAGGCGAATCTGAGTGAAGAGTACACTGTTGTCTATCACCCTTTGAATTACATTATGAGAGTATCCTATTATTTATCTACTGTTTAATGTTTGTCTCCCATTAGAATGTGAGCTCTCTAAGGCAGGGAGTCTTGTGCTCTTCTGAATCCCCAGTCCTAGGAAGAGTCCTAGTACCTAGAGGCACTCAGTCAACACTGGTTGAGTGATGGAAAGAATAATTGTGTCACTGCTAGGTCCTGGAAGGGGAAAGAAACATAAGAGAGCATGGACCACATCATACCTTTGAGCCCAACCCTCCTATTCCCAACACACACACACACACGACCCCTTTTTTGGTATGCTACCCTACCTTGGCTTCCCAGACCCCATATTCCTCCCATTCTCCTCTCTCACCTCTCTGACCAGTCCTCAGATGCTCCTTGGCTCTCTTCCTGGGTCTACTCCTCCTGGGAGGACATTCTTCAAGTTCTATCCTTAACCGTCTCCTTTTGCTAGCTTTCTAGAATTGGAAACAACTCTTTCCCCAGTTGTTTTCATTTACTCATCTATTTCTCAGCCTGTGTGTGTGTGTGTGTGTGTGTGTGTGTGTATTCTCCAACCCTAACCTCACCCTTAATTCCACACTCATATTTCCAATTGCCCATTGAACTATTCCACAGATTCCGTTGCACTTAATACATCTAAAACTTGATGTGTTACCCTCCCTCCTCAACCACCCCTCCCCCTGTACTCCATGTCTCTGTCACTTCTATCACTGTCTTGTTTAGGCCTCATTTCCTCTATATCTTTAGTACTTGCCTTCTCCTTGCTGCACCGCTTACCTGGTTCTATCCATCCTCACTTCTTGACATTCCATTGTCATAGCTCCTTACATAGTCTTCCCTGTCCTAGTCTCTGGCCTTTCCCATATGCTGCTTCCAGTGCTACTTCCTAAATATGGCTGGTTGGATTACTACTATCTCCTCTTCGGCAATCTGTGATCTTTCCCTGTTGTCTATAAAGTCCAGTCTTCACAGTATGGGGTTTAATGCCCTCCATGCTCTGTCCCAAACTAACTCTCCGAACACATGTCCCACAGTAGCACTTAGCCATGTTGGGCCACTCCATTCCCCTAACTTGCTAAGTACTCTGAGGCTCCCGTGCCTTTGCGTTGGCCTCTCCTCCACTTTCCTCTTAGAATATCTCTTCATCCTTCAAAGATCAATCAAAATACTTCCTCCTCTGGGGCCGAGCGCAGTGGCTCACACCTGTAATCCCAGCACTTTGGGAGGCTGAGGCGGGTGGATCATGATGTCAACAGAACAAGACCATCCTGGTCAACATGGTGAAACCCCGTCTCTACTAAAAAAAAATATACAAAAAATTAGCTGGGCATGGTGGCGCGCCTGTAGTCCCAGCTACTCAGGAGGCTGAGGGAGGAGAATTGCCTGAATTCAGGAGGCGGAGGTTGTGGCGAGCCGAGATCGCGCCATTGCACTCCAGCCTGGGTAACAAGAGTGAAACTCCATCTCAAAAAAAAAAAACAACTTCCTCCTCTGTCAAGCCTTTCTGAATCCACCACGTCTGATTTAATTGTTATTTTCTGTTCCCTCAACATGTTACTTTTTGCTCTTCAGCTCTTAAGTCACTCATCCTGGTTTTATAATACGTTACTTATACATCTGTCTCCATAGATTTTTAAGCCTCTTGAGGGCTGGAGGCACGTGTTATTCATGTTTACAGCCTTCACTAGGTATGATGCATAGAAAGTCCTTAATAAGTATGTCCTGTCTTGAGTTGAAGCCTCTGATGCTTACTGTTTGTGCCCAGTCACATAGCACTCATTTACTGCCTGGCAGTCTAGCTCTTTGTGTACATGACTTAGAGCTCCAGGAAATAAGGAACTTGGTTTTACTCACCTTCCTATTTCCACCTCACCTAGTACAGTCTTGCAGCTACCAAGGACTACATGAATGGCTGAAGGAAGAGAAAAATCATGCATTTTGGAGTACTCAGAAACCAAATTACTAGGCACATTTACTATTCCAACTTCACCATTTCAAATATCTTTCCGATAGCAGCCATGTCTTAATTAGAGTACAGTGCCCCACAGAATGTGTTCGTATCTGAGTGTGGGTATGTAAATCTATACATACAAATATATGTTACTGTATACTGGAATACATTCTGGTAATCTGTGAATCAAATGTTTGTAAAACCTTATATCCTATGGAAGACATCAATATTCTTTCAGTTGGGCAGGGTGAGCAGAGGGAGACAAAACATTTTTGAGCATATCTAAATTTTCATAAATCAGTTTTACTTAAAACAGGGTTTCCAGGGGTCCAGTGCGGTGTAGCTCACGCCTGTAATCCCAGAACTTTAGGAGGCCGAAGCAGGCAGATCACTTGAGGTCAGGAGTTCAAGACCAGCCTGGCCAACATGGTGAAACCTGTATCTACAAAAATTAGCCAGGCATAGTGGTGGGCACCTATAATCCCAGCTACTCGGGAGGCTAAGGCAGAAGAATCACTTGGAATTGGGAGGTGGAGACTGCAGTGAACCAAGATTGCACCACTGCACTCCAGCCTCGGCAACAGAGACTCCATCTCAAAAAAATAAACAAAAATGTAAACACCCAAGGTTTCTAGAATATTTGATGAGCCAATATACATCTCTGCCCATGCTTCCTCACATGAGATCTGTCTCAAAGTTCATTAGAAAATCAGACCTTGTAAGACAGGATAATGACTCAACTTTTCTTCCCTTTTGTACCCCTGTAGAGAATTTCATTAAGCCAACAGAGAAGTTAAAAATGTCTACTTCCCATAGTGATAGGAAAGGTGAAAAAGTCTGTCACCCCACAAGTGGGGTCAGATTGCAAAACATGTCACCCCCAGCGCCATTAAAAGGTAAGAAAATCTGACCTGGTGTATTTATTTTCTAGTTTCTAAAATCCATTTTGGCTTTCTCTAGATGACTGTTTTTAAAAGGAAAAAGGAAAACAGCAACACAGGCTGTTTGTCTGTTTGCTCTGCACTGCCTGAAGCAGCGAGAAGGCTTCAGGGTAGGCTTGGCTTTTCTTCTAATTAAGAGCCATCTTTCCCCCAGATTCTGGGATCTGCATAAAAGAATGAAGTATTGTACATTTTCAATTCAACAGAAACCAAATAACGAGGGAGAAAATATAATACTGAGATAGTTCCTGCCATCCACTTTTATGAGAAAGAAATGGCAAGAGTTTTATATGAAAGATGTATTATTCTTTTAAAGAAAAATGACTTTCAAGGAATGTTTTAGTATGAACTCAACTCTAATTCCTACCATCCATAAGCGACTTTAAATGTTTAGAAAGATGGCCTAGGGACATCTCAAGGTCCTCAATCTTTAAAAGAATGGCATTTATGTTTTGTTCACTGTGTCTACTAATATAAGAAGGTGGTGGTTCGCACCTGTAATCCCAGCAGTTTGGGAGGCCGAGGCAGGTGGATCACCTGAGGTCAGGAGTTCGAGACCAGCCTGGCCAACATGGTAAAACCCCATCTCTCCAAAAAATACAAAAAATTAGATGGGCATGGTGGTGAGTGTCTGTAATCCCAGCAACTCGGGAGGCTGAGGCAAGAGAATCACTTGAATCTGGGAGGCAGAGGTTGCAGTGGGCAGAGATGGCACCATCGCACTCCAGCCTGGGCAACAAGAGTGAAACTTCGTCAAAAAAAAAAAAACAACAGAAAAACAGAAAAAAGAAAGGAAGGAAGGAAGGAACAAGGTGGACTAGCTTAGGCTTCTACTTTGTTCTTTGGAGAGTTGAAAAGTTCCAATTTTGTCCCTAACAGAAGGATACCCTGGTCAAAATGTCCAGGAAGCCACATGAGCTATGATACTCAAGCTTAGATGAAAAGTTGGGATAGGAGCTGTGAACTCTGACACTTGGTTATGACTCAGAGATGATAATGCATGTCATGAGAATACATAAATTCTTAGGGAAGATAGAAGCTAGGAGTCTCTAGGAGAAAGAGGAGCCAGAGAAGATGATAGAAGCATCAGCGGAGGAAGGCAGAGGAATGGCAGACCCTGCTCCTTCTGAAAACAGTGGTTACAATGTCCTCTCCTCTCCTCAAACACGCTTGTCACACTTTAGCACAAAATCAGAACACCATGTCATCGATCTAATTTTGTCAGGTCATTGTGCCATGTGTCTTTCCAGGCCATACGCCTGCATCTTCAGTACTCCCAGTGTAAGTGCTAGCCACAAATTAGGTGCTAAACAAATACTTCTTTTGACTTAGCTTGTCTGAGTTTCTTTCAATAAGAACTATAGAGCAGGATGGTTGTCCACCTCCTCTTGTATTTGATAAAGACAAATAACTAGTTCTCTACTGTGTGGCCTTCTACCTGCAGAAATCTCTCTGGTCCAGCTGGATAGCATGAGCGTTTCCCACCAAATGCTGGTGAGATGTGCTGCCATCATTGGCATGACCTTCACTACTGAGCTGTTGTTTGAGATTCTCCCCTGTTGGAATATGAAGATGATGATCAAGGCCCTGGCAATCCTAGTAGATTCTAACATTTTTTATTGTTTCCGGACTGGCAAGGAGCTTCAAATGGCTCTGAAACAGAACGAGGCCTCATTTGAGGTGCATTATCGCTCCTTGTCTCTGAGGCCCAGTGAAGGGATGGGTGAGTAGCACCTGGAGTGACCTAATTTCCTCTTAAGACCCACCTAGATCAAAGAATTGACTTATATTAGGTAGAAGGGGCTGGTCTGTTGCCCACTGATCTGTTGCCACTGCTCTCTCTAGATCACAAGAAAGAGGAAGAGCTTCGTGAACTGCAGAGCGAAGTGATCAAGTGCCACATCATCCGATTCTGTAGCCCTATCATGCAGAAAACAGCCTATGAGCTGTGGCTCAAGGACCAGAGAAAAGCCATGCATTTGAAATGTGCCCGCATTTTGGAAGAAAATGCCCACAGATGTGACCACTGCCGAAACAGGGACTTCATTCCCTATCACCACCTTACAGTGAATATTCGGCTCAACGCTTTAGACGTGGATGCTGTTAAGAAGATGGCTAAGTCTCGTGGATTTCAAAGTAACCTATTTCATTTTAATATTATCCTAACTGTTCTTGGACAATCTAGAGACTAAGATCTAGAAGGAGTGCGTGTGGACCTTGAGGGTTCTAAGACCCTTAGGGGCTTGGGCACAAAGAATCATGAGACTTCAGCAGCCTAGGCCAATGGGGAAGAGAAGAGTATGGGAATGTACCTGTATCGAGTCTAGCAGAACCAGTCTCACTGTGAGACTGTCAGGGAGGGTTTGGGGATAGGGACTCTGGCAAAACAGGGTGTGACCAGAGCTCAAAAGAAAATATCCCGCTTAATTCACATTAAGGGATGAAATCCAAAGGGCCTGGGGGGGGGGGTACAATATGACATGGTGACATGTTTCTTGGTAAATAAGAATATTGTTGCTTTGTTGGTCTAGTTTGAAACAGGTTCCAGTGGGAAAAGAATATGAGTGTGAGAAAATTAGCCAGGGCTAAGCAGGTCAGGGCTCCAGAAAAGAGAACATGGTTTCGGGGCAGAAATTCAAGATCATCTGAGAAGCAAATGTAAAAAAAGTTACAAACCAGTAACACCAACCAGCCATGTGATCTGACAAAACACAGCAGAGGATTCAAGGGATGTAAGTACCCAAAGACTCAGTCACTGCAGGCATAATGGGTGTCAGACAGAGCTGCAACACCAATTCTAGCCCCCATTCATGGTGGCCAGGGAGCTTCTAATGGGCTGCCTACCATAGTCAGAGGACCTTGGCGATTATGGCTAAATCTGGTTGGGAAAGCAGAGGCTACAAGTAGAGGACTCCTATATTATAAGGATATTAAAAATCAGGAACAAATGTATCTAAACTGCCTAGCACATAGCAGGTGCAAAATAAACTTTTTCTCTCTCACTCATTCTTTATTTCATGTGCATTCTCACTGGATCCTTGTATCAACCCTTTAACGTTGATCAGGGTTATTTTCATTGTATTGATTTTTAAAATTGTGGTTCTGGAAGCTCTAATTCCTGAGCTCCCCAAAGGTGGGGTTGGACTTTTAGGTAGTACTTGCCAGAAGATAGGAAGTTCGTAGACACAGCATTATGTAGAAATCAGAGGGTAAGAAAGTTGCAGCTTTGCACAGTGGGATGAGCATGTTGTTGAAACCGCACTAACATTCGTCCATCTCTTTTTGGAAAAGAGGAATCAGGCTATAGGTTCAGAGCCTTAGGAACTAGACTCTGAAGATTTCTAGTCCTCCAAGAGCTTGAGTACAAAGAGGACAAGACTTCAGCCGTGGTCCCACCCCCACTGGGGCAGGGAAGATGTCAGGGGATCGTACACCTACTTAAGTCTAGTTCTATTACTAGGATTTATTAAATTCTCCCTTGTGTGTTGTAGTTTTCCAAAATTGGAAATATTATCACAAAAGTGGTATGTGTGTAACCTGTTGAAATTGAAATTTGTGCCGAAGCACCAAGACACAATGAATGCTGCAATCCAGTTAGGCAGTGGATATACAGAATTTACAAAGGAAATAGCTGAGAATCAGTTACAATCTTGGATCCTTTGCCCAGATCTAAGACATAGGTATGAGGAAGAGTATGTAGCGGGCCAGGATTTGTGAAGAGATCTCTTTGGTAACAACTGATGAGGTGCTGTGTGCCCTCCTCAAGTGGGTTGTTTACTTCATCACCTCAAACCTAGTGAGGTGTCTTCCTTAGAATCAGAGGACACAGAACACAGGGACCTGCCTCATGCCTAAGAAGATTGAAGTGGCCTGTGGCTGCATTGGGATCAAGCTGCCATCCCAGACTATGGGAAAGGATGTGTGAGGGTTTCTTATGCATCAGATATAACCCACCTGGGAGAAACAGCCAGTCTTGAATCATTTTAAGTTCTTTCCAGAGTGCCCTTGGGAGGGTGAGAAGACCCCTGGGTGTGGACTGCTAAAACAAAACAGGGGTAAGGGGGGCAGACTGTGGAGCACTGGGATGTGCTGCCTGAATCAAGGAAGCTTCAGTGAAGGATCCCACACAGGACCCCATTCAAAGAACCAATGAAAGGATAAGTAGGAGATGTAATGATGGAAAGAGATGGGTGAAAGAAGAATATTTGACTGCTGGGGTGAGTCATACATATACACATACACATATACAAACATACACATGTACATATACATATACATAGATGTATTTTTTGGTAGACTGATGTTTTATTTTGGGGGATAAAGTAAGCTAAAAGAAGCTGACAGCTAGAAGATACATCAGTTTGAGCAGCTGCCCTTGAGCAGGCTGACTATGGTCATCAAAGCAATGTCAGTTATTTGCAGATTCTCCAATCAACTGGCAGTTCAGCTCTGGAGCATATGTGACCAAACGTCTCTGAATAATGTTTGCTGGTATCTCCTCTATCAGCACCTCCACCAGAGTCAGGCCATGGCTCTACTATTTCTCTTATCAGAATTTTTCACCTGTTCAGAAGGCTATCGACTAGATAAACTTTAGAGACTTTAAATTTCCTAAACGTTGCATTATAAAACAATAATCCCATGGCCTACTGTCCCACACACCTTCAGTAGTTCTAGTCAGGGGCAAACATTTTTAACTTAGCTGTTCCTTCTAGTTATTACCTCCATATACTAAATGGTATATTAATATTGCTTTTGATTTTTAAAAAAATCAAATTCTAGGCCAGGTGTGGTGGTTCACGGCTATAATCCCAGCACTTTGGGAGGCCAAGGGGGTGGATCACAAGGTCAAGGGATCTAGACCATCCTGATCAACATGGTGAAACCCCGTCTCCACTAAAAATACAAAAATTAGCTTGGCATGGTGGTGCACGCCTGTAGTCCCAGCCACTCGGGTGGCTGAGGCAGGAGAATTGCTTGAACCCAGGAGGGAGAGGTTCCGGTGAGCCGAGATCGCGCCATTGCACTCCAGCCTGGGTAACAAGAGTGAAACTCCGTCTCAAAAAAAAAAAAATCAAATTCTGACTTGTTTTCTGGCTATGGCAGATGAGGATTTAACTCTGTATACCACTCCTCAGCCCCTCTCCCCTATATTGTTATATAACTGGCATTAGATAATCAATGAAGTGTTTACATTAAGACTATATAAATGTTGTCCATTACAAACCAAGCAGTATACCGTGAATAGATTTAACAATGTTTTTCCTAGATTACTAGGAAACTTTTTTTTTTTGCAATGTCTTAAAATATCCTGCTTCAACCTATCCTAGACAGATACTCTATCCATTATCCTTGAATCTCCCAAAGCGTGAAGTGTAATCTTTAGGCAATACTGGTCAAGGACATAATTGGAACCAAGTGCGGTGGCTCATGCTTGTAATCCCAGCACTTTGGGAAGCTGAGGTGGAGGGATCACTTGAATCCAGGAGTTCAAGACCAGCCTGGACAACAAACTGAGACTCTGTCTCTACAAAAAACTAAAAATAAAAAAGTTAGCCAGACATGGTGGCGCACATCTATAGTCTCTCAGGAAGTTGAGGTGGGAGAATCTCTTGAACCCAGGAGTTCAAGAATGCAGTGAGCTGTGATCATGGCCAATGCTCTCCCCAAAAGGCAAAAAAAAAAAAAAAAAAAAGACATAATTGCAAGAGATTCAGGACCATTGCATTATGTGTGAATCAGTTAGGGAGGACGCTAGTAACTGGTTCCCTTTCAATTCTCATGTCCTTCTTAAGAAATGTTATTTTCTGAGCCTTGATTCAATCCAAAGATTTACCCTCCTGGGTGCTGTCCTTCAGCCTCTTCCACCTATTTCATAAGTGACTATTCTTCTTACTCCTTTATCTTCTGCAAATATGTTGAAATTTCGTTCAGCATTTCATTTACTCATTCCACAATTATTTATCATGTTCCTACTACGTACCAGATACTGCTTACTGCTCTAGGCATCTGAGATGCACTGGGGAACAAAACAGCATTCTATTGGGGAAAAGTAGACAGTAGAGAACAAAAACATAAGAAAGAAAGAAATTTCTGGGTTCAGTGGCTCATGCCTGTAATTCCAGTAGCTTTGAGGGCTTGAGGCCAAGAGTTCAAGACCAGCCTGGGCAAGATAGCAAGACCCCATCTCTTAAAAAAAAATTAGCCAGTTGTGACGGTTTGTGCTTGTAGTCCAAGTTACTCAAGAGTATTGCTTGAGTCCGAAAGTTTGAGACTGCAGTAAGCCCTGTTCAGACTACTATACTCCAGCCTGAGTGACAGAGCAAGAACCCAACTCTTAAAAAAAAAAATAGGCTGGGCATGCTGGCTCACAACTATAATCCCAGCCCTTTGGGAAGCCGAAGCGGGCAGATCACGAGGTCAGAAGTTCGAGACCAGTCAGGCCAACATAGTGAAACCCCATTTCTACTAAAAATACAAAAAAATAGCCAGGGGTGATGGTGTGTGCCCATAATCCCAGCTACTCAAGAGGCTGAGGCAGGAGAATCACATGAACCTGGGAGGCAGAGGTTGCAGTGAGCTGAAATTGTGCCATTGCACTTCAGCCTGGGCAACAGTGTGAGACTCCGTCTCAAAAAAAAAAAAAAAAAATTAAACGGTGTAAGTGACAAATCCCATGGAGAAAAACAGAAAGGGTAGGACAAGGGAGATTAGGAGTGCAGAGTCATTTGGGTGCCTTCGCTGCAAAGCAAGACCCATGTAGAAACAGAGGAAGCAAGGGGTTTTGCTGTGTGAGTGGCTGAGGAAGACTATTCTAGGCAGAGGGGTAGCTAGTACAGTGATCCTAAGACAGGAGCGTGGCCCTTCCATCCTATAGATTTTGAATTTACGCTTTTAAAGATCATTTAATTATTCCCAGACACAGTAGCTCACCTGTAATCCCAGAATTTTGAGAGGCTGAGACAGGTGGATTGCTTGAGTTCAAGAGTTCAAGACCAGCCTGAGAAGCATGATGAAATCCCCTCTCTACAAAAAAAATAAAAATACAAAAAAATTAGCTGGGTGTGGTGGCAGGTGTCTGCAGTCCCAGCTACTCAGGAGGCTGAGGCTGGAAGATCACTTGAGCCAGGGAGATT